CTGACCAAAGTTACTTTGTTTTAGGTTTTTTTTTTAACTTAACCATGGCCTAATGACTTCAGCTGCAGATGTCTGATGGAACTAGGAGTAGAAATAGTTAGTTTTCCTTTCACAGAATACATTCTACATTAAATAAACAAATCACATTGTTATGTTATAAAAAACAACAGAGACAGATTTATGCATGTAAAAATGTCCTGGTTCATTTATAGTCCAAACGATTACTTTCTTAATGCTAAGACTGCAAAAACAGGCAGATCTCTGGGACTTTGTTCCTTTATACACACGACGAATATGAACTGATGGTAAAAATTAATCACTCTCCTGTGAAATGACTGCAGAGTAAATGTATTCTTTTAATGACGGCCTCTCATTTTGCTGCTGTAAGGCTTGAAAATTTATGAAAAATTCAACTTCAGGTCTGAGGCATCTACGTAGGAAACCCTGAAGTATTCATATGTCAGTCCACCTCCTACAACATCCATCCATACGCATAAACATCTACCCTTGAACTGCTGCTAAAATTACATGCATTACATGCACATATATGTATATAAATACATACATACAGTATATGTGCATGTATTTATATATATTCTTCTTCTTCTTTCATTTCTTCTCTCTTTGCACATAGCAGAGACAGAAGCGAAACACAATGTCCATCGTCCTGTATGTAATTAACAAACTGACTATAAAGTTAGACGGCGTGAATTTTGTTACGGCGTTTCTGATTGGCCCCAGCGGTCAGCCTGTCTGCCTCCAAATCACCTCAGATGCTATTCTTACTCACTTCATCTTTATATTCTTGTAAAAAGAAAATTTAATAGCACCGCTATTCATAACACGCTGTTAAACGGAGTTCACTTAGAAAAGTTTGACTTCAGCCACTTTCTGGACAGGGTGGCTGTGAGGGAGGGAGGGAGAAAGGAGGAGGGGGGGAGAGAGAGAGAGAGATGGTGAACCTCCTCCTGTGTCCACCACACATACCTGTGTAATCCCTTTCACCGCCCAGCCGTTTACAACTCACACATTTTACCTTCCAGTTCCTGGTATGTTGGATTTATGTGTGTGCTTTAAGGCTGTGGAGAAGAAGAGCACTGAAAGGTTGACTTCATATAAGGATCTGAGAAGACGACACAGAGTTTAACGCATCTGCAAACATGTCTGGGAATTTGGCATGTCGCTTTTTAATCAGTCAGTTTGGAGAATTGAAGGACTTTACCTGCCTGAACCTGAGGTGGAGCTAGAGAATTTGAGTGGCGTGAGGTCAAAGCTGGAGATTAGAGGTTAAATATCATAAATTTCGGTGACTTGTCGCCATATAAATATGCAAAAAATCAAATACGTAAAACAACACTAAACCCAGTGGTGTTATATATGAAATTTGAAGCGTGTTTGAAAATCTTCTGGCGATGTCACAGTATAAACTGGGACTCAATTTGGTGTCGATGCATCCTTGGTACAATTAACTTTTAAATGTTAAATATTATTTGGCAGCCGTCACCCTGTGCCACTCTCTAGAACCACCACTGCCCTGAACATACGATAAACAAAGACACTCTGGGGCTACAAACTGGCAAGGTTTGGTTTTTTTGCCTAGGTGAGGCAGCTGGTTTCAATAAAATTATATATTTCTGACTGACTAATGATCTAATTTGTCGACCAGCAGTTTTAATCAGGCCCTAATGAAACAAGTCATCCATTCTTCAATCCAACACAGAAAAAGCCGGGTCTCAATCATGTGTCGGAGACCTCCGAGCTCGGCCAAGGCAAACATCTGGGCTCAGCCGCCGGTATACAGGTGTGATTGTGCTTTCACCCATGGAGCTACACACCTTTGCAAGGGAGACACATCACTCAAACCCAGGCTTGTGCGAGGGAGGGGCTATCAGTGGGCACTATGTGTGTGGGAGGGAGAGAGGGAGAGAGGGGGAGAGAGAGGGAGAGTCAGCGGCGGGGAACAAACAGCGGAGGGCAGGCTGTAAATCCAGGGTCTAAAGGTCTGCACGCCGTTTTAGCCTCTGCTGCTATACGTTGAGTGACACCCTCAACCTCCAAAGTCCCCCTGCTGGCCCTGAACAAGAAGGGGTCTGTTCCCCCTGCAGCATGTGTGTGACTGAGCAGGGCACGGACACACACTCACTTAAGACACACTTGTACAAAATCAACCCACTATTCTCTTTACATAGACACACACACACACACACACACAGTCCAACAGAAATCCTCGCCTTCATCTTGGCACAGGGCGGCCAGAAGTAACAGGAGTCAGCTGAAGGGAAATAAATCAACTAATCAGAGTATTTGAAATATATATACAGTATATATATATATATATATATATATATATATATATATATATATACATATATATATATATATATACTGTATATATATGTGTGTGTGTATGTATATATATATGTATATATTATCAAGGCTGAATTCTCTCTTTATTCAAAACTTTCTGTCTGATGTTCGTGTGAGCAAAAAACCCCTGCAGCGTTTGTGACAGTGATGCAGTTCATGGCTCAAATGACAAGCTGTTTCACACCTCAGTGTCGCGCACACACACACACACACACACACAACACGGCAATCACTGACAGGGACAGATTGAGCGTGACACACAATGTGTCTGTAACTGACAGAAGGACAGTGAAGATCCAAAGAATATGAATAAAAAGTTCTTTGCACATAAACTTTCTGTCAACGTACAAGTCCAGAACCTTTAGATAATATTCTCTACTTCACGACTTCATGGATTTCTCTGACATTTAACTCTTAACTTTTCAACAGTAAAGGAATCAGTCAGTCTGAGAGGGAAACTGGTGAACTGAGGGACCACGTAAATGTACAATATACATTCATATTTTGGTGTTTTGCAAACATATTGTTGTAACGTCTGGTGAATGTCAACTATGACTGTACAATATGCAGACTATTGAATATATATATATATATTTTTAAAGCCTGACATATCGCACGGTCATTAGTGACGTAAAGTCATGATACTTTGGGGAGGTGTACAGCTCAAGAAAACAACGGATGCTCTGACCTTATGTTGCACTCTGACTTCAATCTGTTCTCAAATCATCGCTCACTAAACCTAACTGTACCACATGTTCTTGGTGATGAAATAATGATGTTACTAAAAAAAAAACCAACACATGGCCGAGAGGACATTAAAGTGGGGTTGAAGTCACCTCCTGCAGGGGGCGTAAAGGGAGCGACAAGTTTGTTATTCTCTTGTTTTCAATATTGTTTCCTGAAGCGTGAAACAACTGTTCTGTGTTTTATTACAGTCTGACACTTCATCATAACCTCACAGGTAATAATGTAGCCTCACAGGAGACTGTGTCCAATCACGGGGCAGTTCACGGGAAGTAGGCACTAATTTTACTCCTCCATCAATTTCTACTGTCCACGCTGTACCAACAAAGACAGAACATGGAGCAGGGAACTGTCTATGACTGAAAGGCAACACTTTAGGAAAAGACTATTTTTAGTGAATTTTTCTAACGCTGCTCTAACATGGACAATGACTTTGAAAAAAAAAACAAAAAACACCCCGAACATTAGCACAGCTGAGGCACCACGCTGTAGTTGTGTTGCTGTGACATATAAAACCCAAAAGTCATTAGAGAAGAGGAGTGTGACATGCCTCAAACCCCCAGGGTCTCTGTGCTGAGGTGCAAAAAAGGTCGTGTCACACAGGTGGGCCCCGACCCTCATTTATCTTACAGAAGGATCACTCCTGGGTCACACATGGGTAACCGGAGACCCATGTGTGATGTGGCTTTAAAAATGTCCCTGGTCACGGGGAGTGTGTCAGTGCACACTCTGTTCTGCTGTTCATGATGAAGAGGCTCGGATTGGCTCACACACGTGTAAACTCAGGCCCCTCCTGCCCCCCTCCCCACGCCCCACCACCCACCCACAGTTCCTCCAGACTATCTGACCACAGTTGTTTATTTTTTAATTAGAAAAAGGAACAAACTATGACTGCTGCAATTGGTTCAATCTTATTAGGCTGCAGTGTGTGTGTGTGAACAGAAACCTCGAATAATTTCATTAAACCAAATGTTTAAAAAAAGACCCAACGAACAGCTGAGGACACTTAGAATGATTAAAGAAACGACTTTTCCAACACTGGAATTAAAAAACATCAACAACAACACATTCCTGACATTATGTTGTAGCTCTGTTGTCCAAACCAGGTCCACGTGCACTCACGTCTACACAGAAACTACGTTGAACCAGGCAGACTCGGTGAGCGGCTCTCGCTCTGTTACAGATGTTTATGACGTCACAGGGTAGGCTCGTGACGCGCGTACGAAACATCCAGGTCTAACGCACACTTCTGCTGCTGCTGCTGTACACAGTTCACACCGACTCTGACCGCCAGACATGACGGTCATGCGTGTGACTTCTGACCGCATCGGTCACAGGAACAGGACTCGAACCCCCCCAGCCCCCCTCTCCCCTCCAAAGACCAACACACACCTTCACAACACTATCGGGTTCTGTTCCGTTGGTGCCAGCCGTGCGTAATGAGCGCCGTGTGTCTGGAGCGCAGCAGCAGCAGCAGCTGTCTGCACAAACGGAGATGTCAGTCATCACACACACACACACACACATGAACTATGTGTGTATCAAAGGTTTCTCCGGTGGAGTCACCCTAACAGAGCTCTATCATGCTCCAACAAGTCGGAACTGACAGTAGACCGATGTAAATGAGGACGCATTCCTCAGAATATTAGCCCGAATATTAGACACGTGACACAAAATGTGTCAGTTATGTTTGAAAATGACGGGGAAGTTCACACACGGTTCGACTGTCCGGGTGTGAACGGCAGACAGAGGCGTGATACGGTCAGAGCTCCCAGACTTCCAGCAGCGAGGCTGCAGATATACACACAGATACAACTCTGATCCAGGAGGAGCGCTTTGATTTTGCGCCACAGAGCGCAGGAGGGGGAGAAAAAAAGTTGTCGACTTACCCAGATACTGTCGGATGTCAAAGAGGATTTTCGGGGGTCCTCCGTTCAGCTGGTAAAACAGGGAGCAGAAGCAGAAGAGGAACAGCGTAGCCATGCAGAAACCATAACCTCGCAGGGAGAACCGCAGTGGTACGGCGGAGAGTAAGCTGTACTTTCTGTTGTTCCGTTCCCGTATGTGGTTCGCAGTCTGGCTGTTGTTGTGAAGGGTACTGCCGCTGAAATTCTTCATCATCTCCTCCTCACAAAGCGCCGTGGAAAGTTACCCATCCGCCCGTGGAAAGTAAAACTTGTCGCCTTGAGATCATTGGAGTCGGCGGGTCGGTCGGAGGGCTTTGGAGCGGACGGGCAACGGAACCAGCTCCTCACGGCTGCTGCGGCCACGGGGTCCAGTGGCGGCGCACGGCGTAGAGCTTCTGCTCGGCGCCTGTTGCTGGAGCTCGTTGAATGACTGTTCCCTCCTTCAGAATCAGGAGTCCATCCTTCTGCTCGGTCTGTTGGGTGTCAGATTACTGAACGTGGAAAGAGGAAAAACTTCCACCTCATACAGGAGCAGCAGCGAGGGTTCACGGCGTCCGAAACAGCGCCACCACGTGCTCAGTCGAAGAAGCGCATTCGGTCTGGGACCAAGCTCTTGAACGGCCTGATCAACCCAGACAGACACCGTCCGTAGGTCTGTCTGTGGAAGGAAAATACAAGAAGTACATGTACTTACATATACTTATACTTATACATATTTCCACGCAAAAGGACAAAACAAGGACATTTTCCCGACAGTTGATCTCAACACAGATTTTTTTTAAAGTGATTCTTGCAGCATGGTTCAATATAACTATTTCAGTGAAGGATCTAAAAAATAGTTTGGGGCTGGGAAGAATTTTTGAATGAGGGCACCAAGACATGTGGAAACACTGGTTCCAACTTTAAACCCTGTGGAGATATTATTGACTTTATTTTATATTATTATTTTAATATAATGTAATTATCTTAATTGACTTTGTATTTTATTGACCCATAAAACTTTCATTTACAAAGCAAACAGCGTGACAGCTGCACCACCCTCTACCTGCCACTGGACGGAGGCATAAAATGAGCATTGTGGTTTTAGCAGCTATCAAAACGACATATACTTACAGACAGTATAAGCTCCAGTGGGCGGTGGAGTCATCATCACTGGGTCACATGTGGAGACGGACCAACATTTTCACTCACATTAATACTAAAGTCAATTAGAGGAGAATTGTTGGCTTTATTCTGCTGTATAAAGCAAGACCACCAACCACTCCTCCACCGTGCGGCTCCTACCAAGTACAACTATCCAGTGACAAACTGGTCTCTGCTGCAGTCTACAGACGGCGGTTCAGGAATAATTTTCCAAATGAGTTTATGTTCAGCTAATAGAATTAGGAGAGTACAGTAAACCCTTGTTTTTCGCGGGGGTTACGTTCCAAAAAGAACCCGTGATAGGCATTTTTTACAATTAAATACTCAGAAAAAGAAGAGAAAGAACGAACAAACCATTTTACAGTCTCAACCATTTGTTTCACAAATAAAGTAAAATAAAAGTACTTTAGAAACGTTTCAACAAATAACTTCTGTAATGTACTGTCAAATAATAATTTTAATCATCAACGTGAACAGAAGGCTTCAAATTGCGGAGATTAGCACCGCCCACCGTGAACGGGAGAAAATTAAAAATGATTATGAAAAAAATACAAATTACCTGGTCTTGTTGCGGGCAGTTGCAACCCTTTTTGAATCCTTATTAAAACTTATTGCTGCTGTCTTCCTTATGTTTTTTTCTTCCTTCTTTATGGAACGAACGGAAGATTCATTAATTCCATAATGCCGACCTACAGCCGCATAGCTTTTACCTTCATTTAGCATGTCCAATAGTTTTACTTTATCACCGATAGACAGCATCTTCCGCTGCCTTTTGGTCCCTACCGCAGGTACTTTTGCCGGTCCAGAGCGTTTTGTCGACATTATGGGGTTTGATAAACTCGAAATTGCAAGAGAATTTGCACGTACGTAATGTCAATTTGGCAAGCTGTTTTACGTACGTGTACATATTAAACCGCAACGTTATTGGCGCACAGGTAGAGAAGAAGCGGAGTGACTTTTTAGCCAATCAGAATGCAGAACACAATGCACGATGCAAATCCGTGAAGTAGCGAAACCGTGAAAAGTAAACCGCGTTATAGCAAGGGATCACTGTATTTTCTCTGTGACTAATAAATACAGCTTTAAGAGCATCATCTGACAACAGATTCCTTCACTGTTGACTGCTGTGAGTCAGCCTTTAAAAAATCAAATGGTGTCTGTAGCTGAGAAAGTCAGACATGTTTTAATCCACTGTGTGAGGGTGAGGGTGAGGGAGCTGTACGTTTCCTCTCCCCTCAGGGCAGCAGTCAGGATAGTGAGCCATATATCTTCACACCAGCGTGGCCCAAACCCACCATTAGACTACACCTGTAGTTAGGAGGTGAAAAACAGTCCTGTGGCTCAGTGGCGACCGCCCAGAGAGAGACATTCACTTTCACTGGTGACAGCACATGAGCGCAGGGAGCAGAATTGGCTTGAGAACAGTGAGGGTAAGATAAGGGTGAGAGAGGGTGAGAGTGAAGGTGGATATGGTATTAGGTCATACTGTGAAAACCAGCCTAAAAGTCAGAAATTGATGGGCTTTTATCAGTTTAAACTAAAGATTTTTTTTTTCCACAAGGACAGATAACAATAGAAAATAGAAATGATTTTATGTGAAGTTATATGCTGTCATTTCACCTGCATGTACAGTACACAGGCTGAGAAGAAAAAAAAAAACTAAAGACAAAACAAAGAGAAGAGAAGGTTTTTACAGTTACTTCTTCACATTCGTCCACAGTGGAAACTACCTGCTGTAAGAAGAAGAGCCATCATGAAGACTTTTTTTTTATAAAACCACAGGCCACAAGCAAACGAGGACTTTATTACACTCCTTCAACAGAGGCTCTGTTTCCAGTCAGACGAAACAGAGACAGAGACAGACACAGAGACAGAGACAGACACAGAGACAGGACGAGGCCTGAAGTTGACCGAGAAAACTTACATGACGTTCCCCAGGGACAGACCAGGTCACACCGAGGTCTTTTCTGATGTGGTGGAAATGAAGTCTAAAAATGTTGAGGTGAAAGTTGAAGTTGTGTCGTGGCTCAGGCGGAGAAATCAACCTGAAAAGTGAAATCAGAAGACCAATGTTAACCTTTGTGGACCACATGGAGATGGAAACCAAAACTACAACAACAGTACACAACACTTTAAATGTAAACATTTCATCAGAACAAAACCCAAAAACAAACGAATCAGGTTTTTCAGAACTGAACAATTAGAACAGAGGAGCAAAATCAAATACTTTATTCACGTTTACATTGAAGTACACATTAAAATATTAAATTTTAACATTTTAATAATTCTTGAACATTAGTATGACAAACAATTATAACAAGAATTTAAACATAAAAAACACAACAGATCAATAACAAAACAAACAGTTTCCGTACAGAAGGAGCCGGACCATAGATGTTTGTCATGAAACAGTTTTTATTATATTTAAGAAAGACAGTTATGGACATGACTTTGTCGTTTCAATACACAAGCATATCTGTATGAACAATCATTAGGTAGATGAAAACCAAATAAAATAATTTTTTTACACATATTTTACAATACATACTGTAGTTTCCTCACTGGCTAAAGCAATATGCAGGAAGATTTTTGCTATTTATATGGTACAGCTAATTACAGTCGAAGTGGGGAAGAAAAAAAAAGAAATAAGTTATTTAAATATTAATTACGTATACAGAATGTGCAACGTCTGCTAAGCATTTTATATATGTAATTAAGAGTTAACGAAGCAGAAGTTGGATATCCTGGAGTGTTGTTGATGTTTGGATTTGGGAATTCAATAGTAAATAATAAAAACCAGTAAAATCATCTGAAACCTGACCAGAAGCTGGGAATAAAAAAATGTGGCCGATGTCACTTATTAAACACCCTCTAAAGTGCATTTACAGTGTCAGTGTTCTCACAACACTTGTCATAGCGCCCCCTGTCCTCTCTTCTCCAGAGCACGGCTTTGATTGAAGACTAAAAAAAAGGCAACCTTTTAGCAACAACAACAACAACAACAAAAACACAAGCAAATTCAAACTCTTGGTGCAGTTCTGGCTGTCAGAGACTGAGACTGTCCTGTCAGGAATACAGAGAAAAAATGAGAAATATTTTCTACATTGAGTGTAAATGAAACCAGTTAGGTTGATTAATTCTGTTGATATATTTGTACACTCACCTCTTTTCCCTGATTTGTCTTTTAGAGACCGTCAAATGTTTTAGCTTCTCACCTGATGTAGCTCTGCTTTCTGTACTTTCTAACAGCTTATTATTCAGCAATGAATCAAAGTTTCAACCAAAGTGTAGACAGGACCAGAATTCCAACTCCACTCATTATCAGCCACATCTTTGGAACACTGATACTTTCACAGTCTCACCGCCGTCCCACAATCCTCTGCATGGACCGTGTACAGTCAGTGTGTCCGTTCACACTTGGTTATATCTGGGTTCTTTTTTTTTTAAAGGATTTATTATCTGAGATTTGAGGGGAAGAAAAGCCACAGCTCCTCAGAAGTATGATGTGTGGTTCATATCCAAGCCACAGCTCCTCAGAAGTATGATGTGTAGTTCATATCCAAGTGTGCGTGTGTGTGTGTGAGAGAGTTCACACAATCCCTGCTGTGACCACTTGTCAAACACATTCAAACCAAAGGACTTCCCACCTGTCAGTGGAGCGTCCGCTAATTCCATCTTCACTCACAAAATCACAGTCAGATCTGGCCGCGCGGCCGTGAAGGAACATCCAGGATACAGTGTGCAGTAGATGAGCGTATACTATGAAATGCTAAGATGAGGCGTCCGCTGTTTCAGCGTGGAAATGACTGAGAGCATTTGACATTCAAGAGGCACCGCTTTCACTCTTCCAAATGATGATATCCATTAGTCTATAGAACAGGAACACCACACAGGAGAAGCCATTAAGCAGTTACTTGTTTGCTGCCGAGGATGAAAAGTCCAAGCGACGAGTGGAATTCTGTCGCCGTCGTCATTATGAAGCTATTAGTGGGAATGAGACGCTGCATGTTCAGCCTTCTAATAATGTTCCTGTGCCACGAGAGATGGAAGTCAAACACCATCATGAAATATGCAGGAAATTAACTGTCTTCTCATATACAAAAAACCCAAAAACCAAAAATTCATCCTATGAAAAAGTGTGCTCTCTCCCTTTAAAGGCAGATCCATGTCTTTATTTTAAGACTTTGTGGGAAGTCGTCCCACAGCGTGAGTCTTCAGTCTGACGTCTGAAAGGCATCTGTTATCCTGCTGAGACAAACTCCTCAGTGATGTAAACATTTGAACAGTCACAACAACAAACTCTCAGCGTCTCTGACACGTGCGGCAGGACGTGCTGTCCTGCTGCGGTCAGTCCTGATGAGACGTGAGTGTTCCGATACCTGTTGTCCAATCAGATCTCACCAGTGCAGTCAGGCCTGCACCTCACTGTGTGACCAGTCGTGCCTCGCTGACCAGCCGTCGGATGTGTCTCTGATCCCTCAGCCCAGCGTCCCACGCGCTGGCCTCCGTTAACACGGCCACTCTGCTCAGGGTGTCGATTCCTGCCGCTGCCAACGCTGTGGCGTACATGGGCAGGCCGATGGAGGTCAGCCAATCAGAGACGGTGCTGATGTTACCTGAGGGCAGAGGTTTTCGGCACATCTCTGTCAAACCTCCAGAGGGAATCTGGGGGACAGAAGGGGGCGATACTGAGTTCATGGACATGAAGCCGCAGCCAACATCAACATACAGCTTATAAACCTGACACATGAAACACATACACGACATACACACTGTATATACATGTGTTTTTGGTGTCAAATGTAGCCATTGTTGCCTTACTGCCATGCGGTGCTGTTTTCGGAGCTCTCGGACTCTGAGCTGGTCCATGACAGAGGCCACGTCCTTGACGGGCTGCTCCAAATCTTCAGCGTAGCGTTGGACTAGAGGTTGGGGAATACCACACCGACCATGCTGGGGACACAAATGTAGGAATTACCTTCAACTGAGGCATAACTAGAAATAGAAAAAAATACTAATATATTTCAACAACAGAATAATCGGATAATCAAACCAATTGGGGATTTTCATTATAGGAAAAAAGAAAGGTAACAATAAAAGTCCTTTGAGCTGACTCTAAAAACATGTCTTGTAGTTCTGCTCGCTGACAACCTGGAACCTGGCTGTTCTCCAGCTCAGGCCTGTTAGTGCTGGCCAAACTGGAACAGAGTTCTCATAAGGATGATGAAAGAAACGAGATGACGGTGGAACTGAGCCTCAGAGAACAGAAGCTTGGAGAGCACATCATACAGAGCTGCTCTGTGTCCTGCCAGCATTATAAAACCAGATGACTTCAGACAGAGTCAGACTGTCATCACAACAGCCTGGTTTTCTATTCCCTACTACAACATTCTCTTCATTGGAATAAATGAGATTTGTCCAAAAAAAAAAAGAAGTCATTTTTCTAAATTTATTTTCTTATGTAACTGGTCTTTAATCAAATGAATATGACATACAGTAACATGACATACAGTAAGAACAATAATAATAATAAAATTTAAACTTCCGGGACTGTTTTTTTTCCAGTCAGTTTCGGGGCCCGTCCTTTGTGAGGCCCCAGTCGGAGGTGTGGCAGGGTTTTATGACCCCGTCTGCCGTCGGTGACATCCAGGGCTGTAAAACTAACAGTCTGCACCGCACCACAGTGGCCTCTCCCCCTCAGCCCCAGGCCGTGTATTTATTATGGTGCGTTAATATACAAGTCTTCAAACTGCATTGAGGAGATATATATACGCAGACCGGGAAACAGACCTTTAAAAATCTATATTTAAACTAATTGAAATTTAAATCATCAAAATTTAATCCAGCCTCACACCAGACAAGTTTGTCCTCAAGGTGAGGAACGATTTTAAAGTTAAATAAAGTTAAAAACTTAAAAAAAGGTAAATGAGGAACGATTTTAAAGTTAAATAAAGTTCAAAAGTTTAAAAAAAAAGAAAAAAAGAAATGAAATGAAAATGAATGATATACATCTCCCATGATTCCCGGCTCTGTCTCCTCAGACTCACCTTGTCGGAGTACGGTTCCTCTGTCAGATCGATCCCTTCGACCTCCAGCCGTTGTTCCAGCAGAGACAGCAGGTCACAGCTGGGCTTGTTGTAGGACATCTTTCTTGCAACTGCCACCTTTCCCCCGAGATCGGACAGCCACGGAGGCTGGACTGCTGGGGGAGTGCCTGAGTCCTCACCCATGGAGGAGGCTGAAGAGGTGGCACATGGACTGGCTGGGGTACTGGGGGACTTGGCAGGGAGGGCCGGAGCGCCGGAGCTGCCGCCGCTACTTCGGATTATGGGGCTATTAGGGGGAGAATGGGTGAAGGAGTGTGTGGGGGAGGGGGGGGGAGGGGGTGTGGGGGGGGGGGGGGGGGCGGGGGGGGGGGGGGCTTGGGGGGGGGGGGCGGGGGGGGGGGGGGCTTGGGGGGGGGGGGCGGGGGGGGGGGGGGCTTGGGGGGGGGGGGCGGGGGGGCGGGGGCTGCCGCCGCTACTTCGGATTATGGGGCTATTAGGGGGAGAATGGGTGAAGGAGGGTGTGGGGGAGGGGGGGGGAGGGGGTGTGGGGGGGGGGGGGGGGGCGGGGGGGGGGGGGGCTTGGGGGGGGGGGGCGGGGGGGGGGGGGGGGGGGCGGGGGGGGGGGGGGCTTGGGGGGGGGGGGCGGGGGGGGGGGGGGGGGCGGGGGGGGGGGGGGCTTGGGGGGGGGGGGCGGGGGGGCGGGGGCTGCCGCCGCTACTTCGGATTATGGGGCTATTAGGGGGAGAATGGGTGAAGGGGTGTGGGGGGGGGGGGGGGGGGCCCGCGGGCGCGCCCGCCGCTACTTCGGATTATGGGGCTATTAGGGTGAGAATGGGTGAAGGAGTGTGTGGGGGAGGGGGTGGGAGAGGGTGAAGGAGGTAGGGAGAGAGGGGCGTGACGTAGACCATTGGCAAGTCTTTCTTTAGACTTCTTGGCAGGAACGGGAGGAGGGACTGGGGGTTTCTTGGGGTGAGTGCGGACAACTCTCTCCCCACTGGACTCCGGGGGACTGGGTGTAGAACTAGAGATGGACTCTCGGTGAACGGGAGACTGGGGTGGAGACAAGGGAGGACGCAGGGACAGCTGGGAGGGTATGGGTGGTCTCCCAAACTTCGGTTTAGGGCTCACTGCTGGAGTCCTGTTCTGGGCAGGAGGACTCTGCTCTCTGCTGCCCTCTGTTGTCGCTTCTTCTTTGGCAGTTTTAACCTCTACGTCCAAATCCTTCTTCTGCTCACGGCGCTCCAAGTGAAGGTCTCCAAGGGAGTGGGAGCGCTTCCAGGGTCCGGCGGGCTGCAGAGGTCCATCCAGGTCCTCGCAGCTGCGGCTGGCCGGGATTGGGCTCCGTCTGTGGGCCCTGCGCAGCCCCCGCAGGTTAAAGCCCTTGAGGGAAGGTTTGATGAAGAAGCTTTTGGGGAACTTTGAGCGCTGGTTCTTGTTGTTGTGATGCAGAGCCTCAGTGGAGAGGGTCATTGGCAGAGTAGGATAGTCTGGAGACTGACCTGCTGATGAACGACTGGAACGGGAGGCTTTTCTGCTTTTACCTGTGAAATGAAAAAAAAAATCCCCATGTTTATACATGTCAGTGTCTCAAGGAGTGTTTTTATTAGAGAAAATCACACACTAACCATTCTACTGAACACATTGTAAGCACATGTATTTCTTTACTGGTTAACAATTTAGTGAACAATTCAATAACAATCAATACTCAAAGTTAAGCAACTAAGAACATGTGAGAAAGTAACGCTGCTTTATTATGATAGCGACCTTTTGCCTAGACCTTATGTGTCAACAACAATATAATTGTACTAATATTAGGTCATTTAATGCTTGTCTGTACAGAAAGAGTGGGGCAGCACTGAGCTAAGCTAACTGACTCAGGACCAAACTGACTGACTTGTCTAACCTGGCACTGCCATAGCAACAAACCCAAACAAAAACGTATGGATGGGATACGACAGAAATTGAAAGGCTGGAACAACTTACCTCGACGGTTTACAGAGTAAAACATGGTTGGATGATGAGATGGTGCCACAGAAACGTGGTTTGCCAAAGAGTTTAGAAATGGTCTGATGATGGAGGACACTGACCTGGCTCTACAGTTTGGTCGTATTTTGAGCAGCCCTAGTGATGCTATATTTACCTAATTATAGTGTACATTTTTGGACGCAGTGACAACAGCTGTCTGCTGTCATGACACATCATTGTTTTATATCTGAAAAGTATTAGGAGCGTGTACAAATATGAGGTTTAAGAGTTGACCTTTTCACCTTCTATAATATGAGCACAGAAATGATGAGCACAGAAAAGCAGCTTTTAAATGTTATTGAAGAAAAAGAATTTAGACAGAAAGTCAGAGAAAACATTAGATCTGTTGCACATAAGCTGCAGAAAAGGTTTGAAAATTAATGCACAAACATTCAGGGCTTTATGTTGCTGCCAATTTCCCAGAACAAGACTCATAAAAGATTAAATTATTTAAATTTGTCTTTGTCTTTTTTTATTGTTCTGACTACTTTTTTTTAAGCTTTGTGTTTCGCAGCAGTGCTTAGTGGGCTGGAATGCCAGGAATAAAGTTTGCTAAATGTTATGCAGCAGGTTTGTAGACAGTGTTATATGGCACAAAAAAGAAAAAGGAAACAGACAGTGACAGAAGTGAAAAGGAAAAATGAAGCAAGTAGCAGCAGAGGTTTTTATTGACAGTAGTGGTTTTTATTCCACAACTTAAATCTCTAGTGCGTCAGATGGCAAACAGATAAAGAAAGAAGACAAAGTCGTTGATTATTAAGGTGGATACGACAGATTACAGTTTGATGCAGAGAAATGGAGCAAAAGAAACTAAAAACCCAAAACAAATCTCACAAATATTACACCAATAAAGTCTCGTACTATCTACATGCTACGGTTTCAAAAATATTTTCTTTTAGTCACACACTGTTACTGTTGTTTGTGCAACAACAGAAGTGAATTCTTGCAGAGATTACGGCAGCAGTGATCTATCAACCTGGTTTTTATATTAAACAACGATCAGTCAAAGATCTGCTGCTTTTTAAGATTTTTTTTACATTTTTTTTTTACCATTAACAAAAATACTCTTTGAGCCCGTTCTCATCTTCCTGCTCCCAGTCTGTGTGTCTGGAACCCACAGTTGGGAACACCAGTCCATGACAGGGCAGTGAGTGCGTTCTGGTGAGAATAGGTCTGTGCATTGAGGGGAATCTCTCCCACTGCTCCCCCAGAAATGTGGGACGCACAAGGCTCAGTGGTCTGGGATCTGGCTCCCTCTCAGATACCAGTGGACTTTGGCGCTGACGAAACAGAAAGCCTTTTTTTACATTAGACCAGTGAAGAAGAAGAAGAAGAAGAGGTGACGAGGTAGCTGAAAGTGTAAAAGTGTGCACAGACAGGAGAGACATGGGACGAGGAGGAGGAGGAGGAGCTACTGGTCCAGAGGGGTGAGGAGCTCAGACAGTTAGCCAGGGTAGAAGCCCAGGAAGGGTAAAAGGCAAAGAAGTGACTGTGGCACTATGACGGCGCTACACCTCAGCTAAGCTAATCCCCAGTGATCCGTGGATAAAGGTGGTCAAGGTGAAGCAAAGCTGCCATTACCGTTCTCCAGGTTCTCAGTGCTCTCGTAGCAGCCGGAGTCTCTCGGGGAATCTGCCACCAAGTTCTGACCCTCGGACAGCAGCTTCTCCTGGGAACCTGACAGACCGCCACGCTCTGGATCACTGCTGCCTGGAGAAACAGAGACACCAAAAAAGAAAATTAGAACAGTTTCAGCTATGGTTTGAGTTGCCTCGGTGTAAAATCATGTTTAAAGACACCGGAAGAAAAAATGAGCTATAAAATAAGAGAAAGTAGAAAATAATAATAGGAGTCATGTGTGACCTTTGAACCCTAAGGTGAAATTGCATTAGAAATGTTGTCATCACTGTGTGATACAGACAGTGAGGAAGGTGTACAAGGGTTGATAAATAAAAAGGAGAATGCGACCCAGTGGTGAACCTGCCTCAGTCCTAACTCTTTTGTATTAATACAAATGTATTAGTGTTTAATTGCTTTACTACAGAACGTGGGACGTTTCTCTGACACTGGGATTCGCAGCCTTCCTGTGAACTCACTGTCATATTCCTGCAGCAGCTCGACAGCCGTCAGCAGCACGGCTCTGTGCTGAGGATCTCTGATGTTCAGCTCATCCAGGTCCTCCTCCTCCAACAACTTGAACGTGTCCAGGTCCTCGTAGCCATTGAACAGGAAAGTGGGCATGTGCTCCTGTACCACAGAAACACCAAGTCATACCATGTAGTCATACCACTGTCAGCACAGACTGAGATCCAACACGTGTGAAGACACGGTCACATGACACTGAGCCTCTGAACAAACCAACACTTTCTTCCACGTACTGCCCAATGATGTGTCTCTTCACGTGAGTGACCCTCACCAGTAGAGGCCTCATTAGAACAGTGGGTGTCCCCGGAGCAGAGTGCAGCGTCTCTGTTCTCTGTTTCTGCTGCGTGATGCAGGACTAAACAAAGACCCACCAACGGAGACCAACACGGGTCAGACAGGTCCTCTCACTCACAGCAGCTTTTCTTTTCTTTTTTTTTAAACAAAGAACCACCAACGGAGACCAACACACGTCAGACAGGTCCTCTCACTCACAGCACTTTTTTTTTTTTTTTTACCTTTTTATAATAATATTAAACATGTTTCTAAATCGGACGATTATTTGGGATGCGGTCCATCTGAGCCAACGTTCCCCGGGTGTGGAGATTTACACTGTGTGGTTCCACAGAGGGCAGCGTTGGCGTTGGTTTTTCAGATTTGTTTCTGCTCAATTTAACCAAAGGTTATTTCACTACAGCTATAATCATTCTCCTTTGATTCACGTCTGTTGAATCATAACTCACACAGTTTTATACGGCCTATAAAATGGACAAAAGAAAAGCAATCTGTGAAGAGGAAATGACTCTGCTGTAGAATATAAGCAGGCTTCGGAACTCTCAGTGTCTCTTCATTTAACAAGGAAGTAGAAATGTTTGGCCTTTTCACATTAATCAAATAATGTCATCTTTTACCATTTGGACATTTTTTCTTTGACATAAAAACGGACTAATGATAGCCTTGAGGTGGTTATAGGCTTGGTCTATGGACGTGAAATATTAACATTCAGCAAAGAGGCTTTAAAATGACAAAGTGCTGGATCTTTGGAAATTTTACAGCTCAAATTATGGGCTGAATACAAAAATACCCAAACTTTTATCTTGTTCTCAGCACATAAAAAAAGGAAAAAAGAAAATGTATGCCACTGCTGGTCTGTTAGAAATATTACTTCTTAATTTTTTTATTCCTACATTTTTAAGATGACATATTCTGTTTGAATAAACGTCAGATCAGATATTCCACCTTGAGGTTGATGCGTTCCAGCAGCTCCTCCACTGAGGTGGGCTTGGGTGGTCGGCCCTTCCTCCTCCTCCTCACGGGCCTCTTGGGCTTCTCCTCTTCTTCACTGAGCACGTCCACGTAGATGAACTTGAAGGTGCCCACTTTGTTGTTGAGCAGACCCATCCACGTGCCCATGGGCGGCTTACTGATGATGTCGATCACATCACCACGCTGGAGGTGGAACAGAGGTCACAGGGAATGACTCACAGTTTATATTTATTCCTGTGTGCTCTTCTTTAAATGCCCTCAGACTCACAGAGACAGAACTAGTAAAAAAACCAGGTACTGGATGACATGTATTGCCCTCAGACTCACAGAGACAGAACTACCGTAGTAAAAAAACTGGGTACTGGATGACATGTACGAGTCTGTAGTAAATATAAAAGGGCTAAAATAATCAATTACTAGCTGCAGAGTTCAGGGTACTGCCTGTAAAAATAACAACAAATATAGATCAAGCTCATGAGAACTAGGGACAGTGTGCTACATGGTGTTGGAGTGGTTAGTGCTTTTGCCTTATAGCAAAGGTTTGATCCCTGTGGTATGGAGTTGCACGTTCTTGTGTTTTCTCCAGATAATCTGGTCTCCTCCCAGTCCAAAAACATGCAGGATTACGTTATAAATTCAGCCTCATTTGACCATAGGTGTGAATGTGAGTGTGAATGGTTGTGTCTATATGTGACTTTTATATGTGACTTTCTGGATTGGCTTCAGCCTCCCTGTGAATGTGAATGGAGGCTAATCATTTTGCAAAATGCAGTGAGTTATACTGACCCTACTGGACAACAACCAACTAGCGTCTATCACCTATCACAAGGTCTGTGAGTGAATTTTACCTTTAGCTTCAGGGAGTCTGAGTCATAAGGGCTGGGTGTGAAATCGGTGTGGACCCTGGCACGGCCACAGAAGGGGCCCCTGTACGGTGGCTCCTCGTCATCGCCATCCTCTGACTTCACACTCTCCCTGTTACTGGCCGATGAATCGGTGGTGCTCACCGTCTGACCACCTGGGTGCAGAAACACACATCAACAATGAATGATAACGGACAGAGACATTGATTCAAAAAGGTTCTCTAGCTTTCATTTGTCAACTTCAGTCTTTGACAGCGTCTCTCTCTGGTTCCTCTGCTTCCTCAGTTTTATAATCTGGCAGAGGTTGGAAATTAACACAAGAGTCAGAGGCAGAGCTGCTGAAGTCACGTCGACATATGGAGAAATCCGAGAGTCGACTTCCTGCCTAATCATTACCATATGTTTGCCTTTCTCTTTTCATGTTTGTGTGGCTGTTCTGTGGCTCTGAATCACAGGCCAACACTTTGGTTTGATCTAAACTAGAAACAATGAAGGGGCAAATTATCCACAAAGGCGAGGACGGAAAGGGTGGACTGAAGTAATCTCACTTTGTAATTACACTAGGTGAGATCGATACACACTGCAGTGGGCTTATTTATGAATAATTACTCTGTAAAAGGCCAACGTTGACTCATGTGAGTCACATCTGATGCAGAGAACAGACTTCATCTGCCACACTGTTGTACAGTTGATGATGTCGATCACATCACCACGCTGGAGGTGGAACAGAGGTCACAGGGAATGACTCACAGTTTATATTTATTCCTGTGTGCTCTTCTTTAAATGCCCTCAGACTCACAGAGACAGAACTACCGTAGTAAAAAAACTGGGTACTGGATGACATGTACGAGTCTGTAGTAAATATAAAAGGGCTAAAATAATCAATTACTAGCTGCAGAGTTCAGGGTACTGCCTGTAAAAATAACAACAAATATAGATCAAGCTCATGAGAACTAGGGACAGTGTGCTACATGGTGTTGGAGTGGTTAGTGCTTTTGCCTTATAGCAAAGGTTTGATCCCTGTGGTATGGAGTTGCACGTTCTTGTGTTTTCTCCAGATAATCTGGTCTCCTCCCAGTCCAAAAACATGCAGGATTACGTTATAAATTCAGCCTCATTTGACCATAGGTGTGAATGTGAGTGTGAATGGTTGTGTCTATATGTGACTTTTATATGTGACTTTCTGGATTGGCTTCAGCCTCCCTGTGAATGTGAATGGAGGCTAATCATTTTGCAAAATGCAGTGAGTTATACTGACCCCTACTGGACAACAACCAACTAGCGTCTATCACCGAGGTCTGTGAGTGAATTTTACCTTTAGCTTCAGGGAGTCTGAGTCATAAGGGCTGGGTGTGAAATCGGTGTGGACCCTGGCACGGCCACAGAAGGGGCCCCTGTACGGTGGCTCCTCGTCATCGCCATCCTCTGACTTCACACTCTCCCTGTTACTGGCCGATGAATCGGTGGTGCTCACCGTCTGACCACCTGGGTGCAGAAACACACATCAACAATGAATGATAACGGACAGAGACATTGATTCAAAAAGGTTCTCTAGCTTTCATTTGTCAACTTCAGTCTTTGACAGCGTCTCTCTCTGGTTCCTCTGCTTCCTCAGTTTTATAATCTGGCAGAGGTTGGAAATTAACACAAGAGTCAGAGGCAGAGCTGCTGAAGTCACGTCGACATATGGAGAAATCCGAGAGTCGACTTCCTGCCTAATCATTACCATATGTTCGCCTTTCTCTTTTCATGTTTGTGTGGCTGTTCTGTGGCTCTGAATCACAGGCCAACACTTTGGTTTGATCTAAACTAGAAACAATGAAGGGGCAAATTATCCACAAAGGCGAGGACGGAAAGGGTGGACTGAAGTAATCTCACTTTGTAATTACACTAGGTGAGATCGATACACACTGCAGTTGGCTTATTTATGAATAATTACTCTGTAAAAGGCCAACGTTGACTCATGTGAGTCACATCTGATGCAGAGAACAGACTTCATCTGCCACACTGTTGTACAGTGGTCACAAGAATGGACAGCTCTAATTTAATTTGGCAGAAAAGTTTATCATTTAATTTATGTGAATTTTTTTTAAACAAGGATAAGGCATATTTTCCATTAAGCACTGAAGCACAGTGGGGAAAAAACCTGGAACCAGTCCTTAGATAAACTACCACTTTTCCCATCTTGAAACCTTTTTCTCAGTTGGATAATCAAAAACCACAACACACTGTATGAAAAAAGAAAAAAAACAAACAAAAAAAAAACACGTGTGCCTTCTTCTGAGTTTGTGTCTTACTCATTGAACTTTGTCCGCTGAGTGAACTACGCAGACTTTCCACTGAGCCTCCGGCTTTCAGCTTGGGCTTCTCCAGAGAGTCGGTGTCAGGCTGAGGAGACTGTGGGGATCCAGGGGCCACGTCGGGACTTGACTGAAAGACAAACAGAATTAGACACAAAGGAAATGTTGTGGAGTCAAAAGTAGAAATCAGAGAAAGAAAAAACACTGATTAAGCAGTTCATATGTGGGGAACAAAAGTCCAAACCAGACTGTACTTTAGTGACATGAACTCTCCTACACTGTTGTGTCATAGAGAGCGACTGCAGGTCAATCAAGGACGAACAGAAAATTAAAGACAGGGAGAAAAAAAAATCAACAACAGTGACCAATAAAGTTTTTACTGGACCTGTTGGAACTGTGTTAAGTAAACACTTCTTTTATGTGGTGGGAGGGAACTTAAAGCTGCACTTAAAAGAGCGACCAACGATCAAACCAATGATGTCATTAGGAATTAAAAGCTGTTACTTCCTTCCCTTCTTGCACGCCATAACTGATATTCCATATGTTTACAGTCAGACGTTTTTGGAAAATCTGGCTTTTAAAAGGAACAACAAAAACAATAAGAAACAATGAAGACAATCCTTGTCCTTAAAGATTGAATTTGAACCTTTAAAAGTTTCTTGAACTCTTTAGCCCATAAGGCCAAATAACTGTTCCCATAATGTCATAATATAATTAAGTATAGAAAGTTAAGTCAAAAGATTTTAAAGATGCGTTCCTAATTTTAAACGATGTAGGTCATTGTAACATATATGAATGTATATATACACATATGTAAATAACATATATATGTTCTACAGATACATATAGAACTGGAACCAACTTAAATGGAAACATGTTAATACATTTTTTAACCTTTTGTCATTACCCTCTATGGAAACATGTTAATACATTTTTTAACATTTTGTCATTACCGACTAACGCTTGTACATGTTTTTATTTACTTTTATGAGCCACTAGATGGCAATGTGGTCTATGAAATGCCTCAGCAGCCACAACGGCATGGCATTCAAATTTTCATTGCTCCTTTTCCAATAGCCTCCTGACTCATGTCAGAATATGTAGGTCACAGTGTTGGGCTGCCTGTAATGAAGCCATGTTTACTGAGCGATCAATAACAGGCGGGTTGGTTTACATCAAACAACAACCGGGACGCAGAAACCAAGGCTGTACCCACCGAGTGCCCCCAAAATCTAGACCAGACCAGATGAGTCGGGCTTTGTTCACTCGTACCGAGAGTCCCGGTTTCATCAGAACCAGCCTGGGGGAGCCTTGCATCACTGCATGAGCTCAGCGTGAAGAGCTCGCCCCACCCCAGCTCTCTGGGCCCACAGAGATCTCAGCACGGAGACGGAGAAGGAGAGAGAAATCCAAAAGTGTGTTTCTGGTTCTCTGTGTTTATTCTGTAACTAACACAAACGCTCTCACCCACTCACAGCCTGTGGACAGAATGTGTGGCTTACACAGCAGAACTGCCTCTAAATGTTTGCAGAACATGTTTTGGAGATTTTCTTTTTGACTTATGTGCAGCTGCGCTGAGGGGGCCTGCTCTCACAGATCGAAAACAATGTGTAGATTGTGGGAGCGTTTACGTGCGGTCGGTCTCAGTTTATACACACTTTACTTTAAATAAAGCCAAAGGGAAATGTTCAAAGTCTGCTGAAACTTTACATTGGTGCTCAGTGGTGTTTATGTCTAACCTGCTCAGACAGGGAGCTGCTGTACTTCTTCGACATGCGCTTCCTCATCGTTTCCTTCACCGACTTGACCTTTTTGCCGAGAGAGATCCGAGACGTGGTGGGGGATTTGACCACCTCTCTGTAGATGGCCTCCTGTGTTAGACAGGGTGAGTCAGTGGGGGAGGAATAAAACGGAGCGACTGGATAATTCAGACTCCTGTCATTCCTTGAGCTGCGAGCACTCACATTGCCGTCTGAGCCGGCGTTGGCCACATGGAGTGAACGGTTGGACAGGTCAAAGCCTCCGAAGCTGCACGTTCTCTGTGGGGGTGGGAACAGAGACCAAACACAATCAAATAAGTCAAATCCAAAAGGTCAGGTTGAAACAATCCACAAGCAGAGATGGGTCAGATCACGGTGATTCATGCTCGTCGTCACACAGGCAGCACTTTGATTAATGGACATGGGTGTGTATGTGTGTGTGTCTGTGGGGGGGCATGACATCATCATTATGGAACTGTGGACAGCCAACAGACGTGATGTAAGACAAACTGTTATACGAACTAGTCTTTAAGATCGTGAGTAACCGTTCGTTGGATCGACTGTACAGCTCAGAGCTGTTGGGACTAAAATGAACCGTTCTTGATGTGGTGAATGTACAGCACGGCCATCACAGCTGGTACAGAAATATATATATATGTATATAAAGTTGGGTTAGTCTACAAACACACACTCTACACAGACTGGTTGTCTGACAAATACACAAAGACAGACATCTGACTGCTGTGAAACAGAGCGGAGTGTGTGATCTGTTTAGTTAAGAGTTACGCAATGACATAAAGGGTGGACACAACAAGAAGGGGGGTGGGGGGTGGGAGGGGGCATCCAGATGCTCATTTTTTACTTTTACTTTAAACCATTACTATTGTAAAAAAAAAAAAATCTCTGCGTACATGGAGGAATGCTTGAAAAAACATTCAGAAACACCAAACCCAAATCCCACAAACAGAGTTATGGAAAAAAAAAAATCGCACTAAGACAAAAAAGAAAATTGACATTAGATGTCCACAGCGTCAGGTCACGTCACAACATCACAGAAAAAAATACATTTGGTGATACATAAAAAAAAAAAAGGGAGACGACTCGGTGCGATGGTGATGTGTAATGAAATGGACATGCTCCGAGGAAAAACGTCTTTGGAAGGTAATCATAAAGGTAGAATATATAGAAAAAATATATAGATGTAGGAAAGAAAAACCAAATCATACTGTAATTACAGTGGCACGGGCCAAAAGGCAACACCACAAAAAGCTACAACAGAAAAAAAGACTGGATGAGAATATTCTCCAGTGAAGTCACTGATACACGACAGGATTCAGGCGCTCTCAAAGCTGCAGGATAGCTAAGGGTTTAAAATCACCTTTCAGCTCCTTAATGTGTCGATCTACACAGAAAGAGTGAGGTTTTTGGACCATGGCTAAAAACAAAGACGACTGTGTCTAACCTGCTTTAACTGTGGCTGTTGAATTTTTGTGTGAAAACCCTGCACACTACACTACACCACGAAGGACCGTCACTGACACTGACTTCTGAAGACTGTTGACTGAATCCTCCTGTCGGCTGAGAGGATGAGCTGCTTCAGGCCGCTGCACCACATACCCCACCCACTGGGATCAATGTGACTGTTCTTCAGGGATCTGACATTTTCTAAAAGGCACTTACAGAACCTCAGCTGTAACTTAATATCCCAGGTGGGGCATCGCACATTCCATAATCCTTTTATTTTTAACTGGAATGACAGAGGTTTGGAGGCAGAAGACGTTAATTTAAAGGTCAAAGGAGAGGACGGTCCTCCGGAGCCTGGTCTGTGACGGTGGATTTCTCTGAGGGACAATTCTATCATCAGTTAAAGACGACATCTGACGTGTGGTGTGATCTGTGTGGTGTCTATCTACAGCACCTACTACTGTGTGTTAGCATCTGAGCTATTCTGCAACTTTGAAGCACACGGAGTCCTGCTCACACGGAGCGGCCGATTTGAACCTCGAGGTCCAAACTCACAGACTTCTGCTGGATCCGCAAGAGCACACGCTTGGTGCAGCGGTCCACACTGGCCGCCCACTTCCTGTCTGCCTCGTGGTCGTCCTCCAAAAGACGGCACCGCTCAGCGCGGCTGAGGGTGACCGGGCGAACCAGCTGGGCCCAGTTGAGGTGACCGTACAGGCTGCGCTCTACCACATACGTGATGTTCAGCTCACTGACCGCTGTTCGACCACGAAGCCTTCGGGAAGGGAACATCCAGCTCCCTCCCATGCTTCCAAAACCCTTTGATTTGGCTACGTCACAACGGGTAGGGGAGGAGGGGGTGACAGACAGGGGAGACACGGGGGTCTTTGCACTGCGCGAGCGCTGGTAAAGAAGATGCTTGGTGGAGTAAGAGTAGTTGGGGTCAGGTTTCTGGTGTGTCCAGCTTCCATGGTGCCGGCTGACAGGAAGTTGTTTGGGGCTGCGTTGTGGACTGTCATCGAGTGAGATCAACAGGCGGGACTGGGACTGGGGTTTGGGACGGGGTTTAGTGAGGCCGTAATAGGCATAAAGGGCCTCGTTGTTACTTACCCCATGTGAGATGGAGCTCAGGGCCTTTCGCATCTCGCCGTCGGTTGTGGAGCGTGAAAATTTGCCCTCGTCATCCAATCCACAGCCATCCAACTCTGAGAAGGAAGAGCCGCTACCTCCGACACCAGAGATCGAACCTCCGAGGCCGCCAGAGCCAACCGGGGTTCTCCTGGGGGGCCGGATCAGCCCGTGGGTACTGGAAGACTTACTGAAAGTTTTGACCAGCTTGTGTCCAGACCAGGTGTCTAGGCTGCTGGATGAAGGGGAGGTGGTCAGACTGTCTGTGTCTCCGTCCAGGGAGAGTTGATCCTGGGTGAGGGAGGGCAGAGACGCCTCCTGGGGCAGAGGCGGTTTCTTCAGGACTCCAGTATACAGGGCAGTGTTGTCCTCACAGGTGGGAGGCCCGTCCACATTGAAAACATCTACACAAGACAGAAACATGGGCTCGTTTGTGAGACAGGAAAATGTAAACATCAAATTCTGTGCAGCTTTAACACCAGCGGTTTGGTCAAACCACGACTAACCAGCAAACATTTCAAAACACATTCTTCAGGTCTGAGTATCAGGCAAAACCCATAATGAAGAATGCATTATGTCAGCGAAAAATGCTATTTCATTTCCAATAACCCTCAAATGGAAAGAACTTGACCAAGAACAGCCAAACATCTCATTTTTACAAGTACAACAAAAGCCTCAGTGTGAATCAAAAACCATGAAATCATTATGGTTACAAAAGAATCACATCAATTCGTTGTTACTGCGCATGTAAAACAGTACGATAATTAGATTATCAGTTAGTCACTGATTAGCGTTCAAACCTTCAGAGCCGTGTTTTTTGCCCTCTTCCACTTTAATGAGTTTCTTCCTGACCCGGCGTGTGGAGTTGACCAGTTTGTGAAGTCGCTTGAACTTCACTGAATCCTCAGATTGCTCATCATCTGACTGTTCACGAGACTGGTGGGAGAAACAAGAAGAGATGGTAAAATGAGAACAACACAAAAATGTTTCAACATCAATGAGAACAACACAAAAATGTTTCAACAAATCAATCAATCATCAAATAACAGCGATGTGTGGTTTGGCACAAAAGACATTTAATATAAAAGTGAGCAGGAAATAAATCATCACCCTTCCACACGTGTACTGCAAGGTTTAATGAGATCAGTTTAATGCAACAGATGGGAGCGTTGTTTAGAATGGAGTTAACGTTAGTGAGGTGAGAAATGGAGGACCGTGAAGACGGTGCTGCGCTGCACTGTGTGCACTTCATTATCACAATAAAAACACAGAGGCAAATGCACTGGAAATAATCAAACCAGTTGAGCCTGAAAATACAGCAATAAGTGGGTGACAACGTGGAAAACCTCCGGCTTGTCTTTATCTGCAGGTTAGATTCCCTGCATCAGCACTTAGTAAATGAGTCACGTTTCTCCAGAGCCAAGAAGTCACTGCTCAAAACTGAACTGGAACAATCTGTATCATAGAATACATTAAGCTCTTATGAACGAAGACGGTAGATCTGGATGAGCAGCATAAAGTGCTCAGTAAGTTGTAACTGTCCTGTCTACAATAGGGGGCGCTGCAGAACAAGTTTGGGATCCAAAGGAGTAAGCGACTGTGTTAATCCAATACTAAGAAAAAAACCCATGCAAACATGAAGACGTAGCATCAGTACGTGCTGACATACAGAAAGACCGGGAATTAAACCAGCAAACCTGCGAGCTTGTATCTGTAAGGCTAGTGCACTAACCACTTCTTCCACCCTGGGGTCATGGGGTCAATAACCAGGCTCTGCAGTGGAGTCATCTCCTGACCTCGATATGTATATCAAGGTCAGGAGATGACCCCACTGCAGAGCCTGGTCGACAGATGTTCACTTTGGTCAGAGGCAGCAACCTGGAACAACAACATATTACTGACCCATCGACCTGAGACCACGCCCACCACAGACTGCTACAGCTGTTAGCATCAACCTGTGTGCTAGTCAACCTGATGGCCTCTGTCTACACACTGGTCCCAGGGTGGAGGAGAGAATCAACTCTACTGTAACCATTTCCTATCAACGACACACATGCACTTCACATCAGAACACAAGTCACACACTGGCAGACACTCCCTAAGCTTCATGCTTGTGTGCACATTCTTGTTACGCTTTTCCTTGTGATGAGGTTTTGCATCTGTGAGTTTGTCTGGCTGGAACCACAATCGCCAACATGCTGCTCCAACAACTTAATTTGTTTTTATGTGATCTCGGTTTCCACGGCAACACCACCTCGCTCAGTCACGCTGCTAGCTCCAGCGTTAGGGTCGACTGCACTCTTCACAGAGAGACATCCACGCACTCTTAACACACACAACAACGAGACAGATCAGAGCTGCAGGGCTGAGCTCTCCATCTGGTCAACACACCGTCTTCTTCTGCAGCGAACCAGCAACAAACCACCGTCTTTCTGTTGCTGGGTTTAGACCGCAGCTCTGGCTCACAGGCTGCTGACATGCAGTGGCGATGATGTGAACAACTGTGGCTTGGTAGACGCAAACAAATCTGACTTGTCTGCAAATCCTTCATGGCCCGACACCAGCAGAGCCTGCTGTGACCTCCTGATCTGCAGACATGGGTCTGAGACCTGACTAACTGCTGCCCGGCCGGAAAGGAAAACAACACATTATCCAATTTGCAAGTAAATAAAGCCATTTAGTCTGAGTGGCCCACTTGGCAACATTTGGTCTTCAGTCACACTGGCTCTGCGGTTGGACTCCAGTCTTTTTCAGACTGTGATGAGACTCAGACTCTGAAAATCTATTATCCTTTAAGTTAACCACAACATTGCTGAACTGGGTTCTGCTGGTTCTGAATGATGTTTGAGAGCGTTAGGTTTAGAGCCACTGATGCCACAGAGTAAAATACAGCCCATAAAAATCAGCCTGTGAAAATACAAAATGACCAAAAACCAATACTTTTGTTAAAAAAGAAAAAAAGAAACTGGGGAACCAATAGAGTTTTAGTCCTTTTAATCGCAACCCATATTAAATCCATCACTTTGGTTTGTAATGGAAAGAAATGAGTGACAAAACTGAAGGTCTGAACCCAACGCTGCAGGACAACATCCAAACACACCACCACATAAACAGGGAGTAGGAGACACAGGAAGAAACCCAAACATACGAGGGTATGAATCTCTGCAGGCTATCATCAAAAACAAGGTCAAAGCAACAACTCCAACACCATAATTACCATTCCACAACACAAATTACACTTAAGGTTGTTGCCACAACTTAAAAAGATGTGTTTTTTTTAACTTAGGAAAATATATCAAATATAATCCAGTTCTCCTGATGCACAGTTGAACCTGAAGAATCTTAAACGTGCAGAAATGTGTTTCAAACTTACCAGCGCAGAGTCAACAGAAGCACAACTGCCTCTTAGCCTTGGGTTAGCAACAGCGATTGCAACATAATGTGCGCTCATCACACATCCATGCATATATAATCACAGACAGTTCTTCTGCCCCTGTGCACATGCTGAGTGATAGAGGTGCAGTCTGTGACTGAGGTCGGTTTAGAGAAACGAGAGGACTATCTGGAGGAGCTGAGCTGCAGAGCCAGCAGAGAAAAGGAGTGTTGTGCATGGAGAACAATCCCAGCGTTTGAGCCTCCCTGACCCTGGCTTGGCCCCCACATCATTAATGACCAGTCCAGGAATGTGGGCTCCGATCGCTGGGGGACGACAGACCGGACAAAGGCGGCATCAATATAAGGGGCCACAGAGCAGACCGGAGAACTGTAAATTACAAACACGGGGGTCGCACACTTGTCTTCATATGTCTGCATATAGCACAGGGTCAGAAGCAGACACACTAAACTGTTACTATTTGAATCCAGGAATGAACCACTTCTATTCACTGTGACACAGAGAGAGGCCCACAGAGCAGACAGACTTCCTGTAGCGGCCAATTTTGGAACCTGGAGGGGACATATAGAACCCCCCTCTGTTTATGACCCCCCAGGATAAGTGTTAGGCCTTATCTTTTAACTCTGTCTCCCTTGTTCCTCCTGCCTTCAGCACTAACTGGACTACATTCAAACCTCCAGAGCCAATCAGTGAGTTCGCTTTTTTAACACAACTCTCCTTCAGGCACTTGTGAAAACTCCTTCTGCTCCTCGCTCCCACTATCAATCAACCTGCCTCAGACGGGGACAAAGCAGCTGACAGCAGAGTGGTGATGCGGGGGTTAACGTCAGGGTGTCAGCAAACTCACAAACAATTCGTGCAGCCACAGCAGGGAGTCGAGGAGCAGACAGAGACAGAGAGGAGGCCACTGTGGTGTGATGTTGATGTGACGTTCACATGAGAGGAAACCGTAGACTGACGATGTCGTAGCGTCACCTTCTTATTTAAGATTTGCTGTGTTGTGAGATTAAGGTACATTTATTTAAAATTAAGTTCAAATTTTAGTTGGAAAATGCTAATTGTTTTTTATTGGCTCAAAATAAAAACATTAGTGTTCTCTGCTGAGGCTGCCATATTGGATTTTAATGTTTGTAGTGTTTAAATCTTATTCGTATTTAAAGTGGTTGAATCTAATTCTTTTAACACACTACACATTTAAACCAGAGGTTAGAAATGTAACACATCTGTGGGATTCTGTCTTTCCCTCTGAGTCTGTTAATGTTTCCAATCGATTCCCTGCAGAACATAAACAACCAAAAGCAGCCATGATCACTGATAAATCCTGAAACTGGTCAAGAAAGAGAAGGAAAATTAAAAACAAACGGAAATCTAAGAGTGATTCCAGAAGTTGATGAGAACCAACAGGGAACGACTGTTGGAACTCACAGCAGCTGGAACGGAAGCACCATGAGAACCAACAACCAGGCCAACAAACAATGAACGGCTGAGAAATGTGTAATGAACAGAAAGAATAACCTGATTAAATTTTGAAACTTTGTTCATCAGAATAACAACCAGTTACTGTATGGCTTTGTTAGTGATGACTTCAAATGAACGGGAATGAAGAAAACCTAAAATCAGACATCGGAGGTCATAGGTCAGATGTCACAGAGACACAAAAACCCACAGTAAATGAAGCAGATGACGTGGTGGTAAAATCTTGTCTCAAATTTGGATATAAAGTTGACAGAGACAGAGAAGAAGAAATAAAGGCCAGAAAAGAAGAGAAAAAAAAACAGCAGAGAAGTTGAGTCGAAGTCCTTCTCCACCTGTGCAGCTACAACATTAAACAACTTAACAATAAAATAACCTGGTTGCTATTAACAGTGTTATTTACCCCCCCCGGTTGTCGGGGTGGGGTGGTACTTACGTTGCAGTTTGAGGACAGGTTTAGATTGGTGGTGGATCCTTCAGTCCACTCTGCAGTGTCAGTACTGCTGCACTGTTTGCTGCGCTCATACTCCTTCAGCTACATGGAGAAGAAGAGTTTAGAGAGGCAGAGGAACAGGCCGCGGCCACCCTCCCACCAAGCTGACACAGTGCTGAATGAACACACACCACACAGAGGCAGTCTACCACTGATGTAGGTGAATCACCCCCGTTGCTCCCAGGGTACACTGACTCGATCACTTGACATGTCTAAAAAAATCTGCCAACCCTGTGTTTGTGTTTCTGTCAAACTGTTTAAGCACTTTGAGCTGCATGGTTGTATGAAATGTGCTATACAAATAAAGGTATTATTATTATTATTAAAGTGTATCATTTAGATGTCGAACAAATCCAGGAGATTATTTGTCATGTGAGAGCTGACCATTATCCTTATCTTTCAGCTCTAGTACTTCAGGTAACTTTATTTTTGACTTTCCTGTCTGTCCGGTAACTGAGATGTTGTTCAATGATCAAATTACAAAAAGAATCAGTATTAATAGACTGAACCTCAATCACATACATGGAAGTAAACACAAAGGGGTTTTACATGAGATCACACAAACACAACAGTTGATCCACCAAGCTATTGATTGATTGGTTGGGTTGAGTGTCAATCACTTGAGAGAGAAGCTCAGATCAAGCCATTGGCTGGAAGGGAATCACAGATCAGGCAGGAGGATCATTAAGTTCTGCCAGTGCATTCATATTACCTGCAATACGTTATCAAAAAGATTCTTCAGAAAAAGAAGGAAACAAGAAAAGGAAAAAAAATAGAAGAAATCAGAATTTAGAAAACAAAACACAAAGCAGAGAAACTGATTGATAGACAAAAGAAAAAGCTAAAGGAAACTCAAATTAAAGCCAAATAAAAATCCACCACATCAAGGAGAAAACCCCCACAATGCACCTGTGCATCACTCCAACAGAGGGGGCTAAAGAGTTACTATGAAAATCACAAATATAAACCAACACAAACTCCAACAGATCACACCCGAAAATCCCCCATTGTGTATGTGTGTGTGTGTGTGTGTGAGGACTGAGTTAAAATGAAGGGTCTGGTGGGAGTTAGTAAGAGTGAGTCATTTTAGTAAGCTAATGCTAAATGGTGGAAACATGATGCATGAAAGGCAAAGCAGGAAACTAATCCAAGCAGAAGGTGAGAGGTCTGAGGTCGGAGAGTGGGGGTACTGGGAGGCTGCACCAGCTGAGGTCAGAGGTCAGGAGAGTTTCCTACCCGAGCTAGAGCTTCTTCCACGGTGATCATCTTCTCTTTCACCATCATCATCAGCTGGATCCGCTCTTCGTCGCTCATGGTGATTTCACTGGCCACATAGCCAATGTCCTCTCCTGACCAGGACAAACCACAAGAGGTCAAACAAGGAGTGACCTTCAACAGTACAGCAGCCATGGGAGGGACTGTAGAGACAAACCTTTGGACGCCTGACGTGTGACCGGTTTGTGCTGGGACTTGCGGAAGTTTTGCCAAAAAGATTTGTTCTTTTTCTTGTTGTCCCATTTGCCTGTGAGGAGAAGCACACACAGGAGTTCTCTCGATTATTACAGGAAATAAACTTAATAAGTAGAAGAGAAATGTGTCTCCACCTACCTCCAGACCCATCTTCAGAGCTGGACTTGTGCAGTGGCATTCTGTGAAAAAACAAACAAACAAAATAAACAAACATAAAAATGTCATTCTATTTGATTTTTATACGTTCACAGCTGATCTTCAACATCTACTGTCTGTAGACACGAGTTTTCGCATCAACACCATTGGAAGTTGCAGCAAAGTTTGTATTTCCACCACTTGGGGTCAGTAGTGGTACTTTGTAAATCCTGTTTTAGGAGAGAGAGATCAAGCGTATAGCAATGCATAGTGTTTAAGGAGCTGTGAAGAAAGGTCAACGTGATGAGAAAAAAAGGGGGGGGGCTTGGGGGGCACAATCATGTGAAATCGAACAGGTCAGAGGGAAGAGCAGGAAAGCAATGGAGTGAGGATAGGTTGAGAGAGGGTGAGAGAGAGGGAGTAAAGAGTGGGGAAAGGGTGATGAGAGGGAGAGCAGCAGGATAAAACCACAAGGCAGACTCAGCCTGTTTGTGTTTCCACTTCCCTCCGCAGGACAGACGGTCACGAGGAAGGAGGAGAGAAGAGTGGGAGATGAAAAAAGAAAAGGTGGAAAAATGACAAGAGTAAACACTCGGTCTGACGTGTCTGAACAGCTTCTGATAAAGGCAGAGATTGTTACGAGAGTATCTTCTCTCACATCATCTCTCATCACAGAGTCACGAGCCTCTCCCAGTTTTTTTTTTTGTCCAGTCCAGCATGATGTCAGATCACAGCTGTCTGCCTTTTTCTTCTGCTGAAGCCACATTTACTAACCCAGTCTGCACCATAGGAACAGTGTATATGTATATTACAGACACACAGAGTCAGCGCCTCAGGTTCAAAGTCGCTGCAGAAAACTCCAGAGGTGGTGTTTTCATTCACTGCTGGCTAAGGAGGATGAAGAGAAACTGAACCTTTGTGGTGACGCCCTCCAGGTGTGTTTACAGTGGTGACTAATGATCACTGGAGAAGAACCACCTCCCACGTGTCCCTCTAACAGGCATCACCACAGTGGTAGTTTTGGCAGAGCCCTCACACCGGATGTCCTTCCTCAGGCAACAGACTAGGTGGTATTGAGGGGTGGTCACCACAGCTGACCGCAGCATCACTCCACCGTAACTGTAACTTTGTCAAAGCTTTTTTGAACTTGTTTGAACCAGTGGAGGAACCGGTCAAACTAGTGTAGATCAAACCTAGGTACTATAGTGCTGAGTGCCCATGGATGTGAGGCTGTACGCCTGTGCACCACACTTAGGGTACCCAACTCCACAGGTCTAAATGGATTATCTTCAATCATTCTTACATCGTCCACCTTTCAGACAACAGGTCGACTCACTCTGCCCACGTATGAATATGTTCACACTCTTTGTCGGTGCAACCCAAACCCCTTCACCAGCTTGAAGCCCAGCTGCTATGGCAACATAATGAGATGCTAATTGAATGGAAGCGTGTATGGTTTGCCCCCCTGCTCAACCCCTCCCCTCTTTGAGAAGGCTAAGGCCAAAGCTGATGCTAACAGAACTCATTCAATAGAAGCTTTTCAGTCTCAGTGCTGCCCCCCCGGCCCCTACTTCTGCATGCTCTATAAATTAACAGCATGTGCACACATGCACGCTCTCACCCACATCTACGCACTCACATATGTCAAGACCCTTAATGTCCTTCGGAGAGTGGGGTCCTACAGGCTTTGTGTGTGGAGGTCTCTTACAGTGTTTGACTGACTGAGGCCGTGGTGTTGTTCATATACAACGAGTACGACACAATGAAAGGTTGAAGGTAAGAAACGATGGTTTCTTACTAACCATTCTGCTTTAATAGCATCAGATTTGATGCTACTGAGTCATTTATTTTAACTGTGTGGTCATGACGAAGAGGAGGATCAGACAGAGATCTGTTGAGTAGTTCACGTCATGTACAGGAAGAAGGAACAAGAACTGTTCTCACAGTACTTTCGTTAACTCGGATGTAAAAACACTTTTTTCAAAACGCTGAGCTGTGCGTGTGGTTTATTATCTTCAGGAAGACCTTGCTACGTGAGGACAAGCTCAGAGAAAAGAGTAAGAGTAATCTCTAAGCAAAATGCATTAGTTGCACAGTTGTTCACTGTTGGGAAAAAAAATAAAAATGCCATCATATTATATGCCAGCAGAAGTTACGTGAGTCATGTGTTTATTAACGCTCATCCTTTGTGATCCAGCAGCTGTCCAAAAATGGAGATAAGCCAGTACGGTGGAAACAACTGCAGTCCTTTTTTTAAATAGTTTTTACAAAGATCATCATAAATGTGACTAACATCTAGCGGATATCTGAACAGAGAGTTTTGCGAGGTTGCGAGGGCGGCCACCTGGAGCGAGGTGACCTCCGGGTTACTTGTAAAGACAATAAAAAGCAGCGGCCCTGCCTGACAGTGGCAGTGGCCACAGGAAAACCGGTGGGTTGACCTCTGTTTCACGGGTCACAGAAGAGGTCAAAGGTCCCGTGGAGGCAGCACAGTGACGCAGTTAAAAAACACACATTCATCTGTAAGTGTGTGTGGTTCTTTTCCGGCCAAAGGCACAGTCTGCTTTTAGTAGTGAAATAACAGACCCGTGGAGGCTGCAGAGTTTTACCACAAGTGATAAGTATGCTGACATGGTATTTTAGTTTTTCCATCGTGGTAATGTTGTTCTAAACAGACGCTTCACATTGTCTGCCCGTGTTTCCATCCCATCATCAGTTACATAAGCCTGGATATTCAATTCTACATAAATGCCTCCAAACTCTCACAGCCTGTTGAAGTCTCTAATCCACCACTGGTATATCTGCGTCTGTGTGCGCGTCTGCTTTCATCAAGATCCATTTACGGCCTGCTGTTAACCTCACTGATAAGCTGTGTTTTGCCCCTGTCCCAACAATACCCACCAATCAATCAGGTTTCAAAAACAGGAAGCCTTAAGCTCAAAGCTTCCAGCTCTGTCATCGCCGCGTCTATACCGACAGTCGCAAGAACGGTGGCCACAGTTAGAAGGAGACGCCGAGATGTAGGGGGTGCCACGGTACCCAGATGAAGTCTGGGTAATCTCCTGTGGTTTCTATTGTCCAACAGAGAAGTGATGATAAGGGTCTCTGCGTCGGTACATGAGAGTTTTTTACACGTGAACCGCTTTTGTACGACTGTGAAGAATACGTCCAAGAAGAGGACGGGGATTGTCCATCAGTGTGCCCATAAATCACTGCACCTGAAAGCCATTCACCGCCGTGCAGAGTGGACAATGCTCTGTGTAATAGATAGAGCAGAGCCCAGAGGAATGAAGGAGCGCAGAGGAGAAGGAGGCTGGAGGCCAGGGATGAATTTCAAGAAATAAAAGGTTCTCAGAGGGTTTTGGATGAATTTCAAGAAATAAAAGGTTCTGAGAGGGTTTTACAGACAGAGACTTGGCCCCGAAGCACAAAAAACTTTTTTTTTTTTAAGTTTAATTAGATAAAGATGATATGAAGCACCTCACACTTAACTGTGGCACCAGAAATGGAGCTGGGAGTTTTTAAGGATGTGAAACAGAAACTGTAGCAGGAGGCGCGAAGGCAACAGAGGTGAAGAAGAAGAAGGTAAATATATGGTCGTTATATTACAGGCTGACACAGTGAGGAACCGACCGTGTACTGAGAACCAGTGAAACAGTCGGAGACGAAACAGACTGACAGGGAAATGAGAGTGAAAAGTTCAGTAATGGGCTCCCCTCTGTCTCTCTCTCTCTCTTTCTCTCTCTCCCTCCAACAGCACAGAGACGTCATTAGAAATGTGACATCTGGATTTCATCATCCTCAGGCGTTTGTCTGTGCTGCTAACAGTGTTCAGCCATAGGAGAAGAGATCATGTCTGTGGTATGCTTTTCCTTTCAAACACGTGGTCGTCACATGAACAGAACGTTTCTGCTGGGGGTCAAACATCGGTGATGCCCGATTCCTGCTTGACTGCCTGATTCAGTCTCTTGATACCTGTGTTACTGTTACTGACGCCCTCTACTGTACAATATCCAGTTATTACTTCTGACCTTTAGCCTCTTTTTGTGAAAACAGAGAAAACCCAGTAACTCAGTATGTGTGTGTGTGTGTGTGTGTGAGACGGCAGTGAACGTAATCATGTTTGGCATTGGTTTTCTAGAAAACTCTTTCTCCCAGTTTCAGACAGTTTATGGCTGTGACCTCATTGCGGTGCGTTGGAAAACGGGGAATTCTACACACAAACACAAAATGTGCAAAAGGGATCTCGCACATCACGAGAGGCAGAACGGGCCAGAGGAGAACCCGGTCCGTACACTGCTCCATCCTGCTCTTTCATTCATGTATCTTTGCTGTAATCACTCCCTCGGTCTCACAAAGGCAGGAAGGAAGTGTGGAAAAGCCGGGGAACACAGGACTGAGGAGGTCAGGCTGTGGAAGCAGTCAGTGGTTTCCCTTAAACCGCAACATTGGGAGAAGACGGAGGGAGTTTCAGGGACCAACTGCTGATCACATGTCTAATATGTTAAAATGGACGAGGGTGACTTAGAGTCAGGAGAAACTTTCCATCTATTTCATCATTAGAACTATTCAGTTTCTTTGCAAAATGTAGAACTTTGTCTTTAGTTACAGCACACAACAGTCTCAGACTAGAGACCAGGAACTTTAAGCTGTTTGGTTTCCTCTGGTCCAGTCTTGTGCTGTGGAAGCTGCAAACTGCAAACGCACTAACACTTTTCCATCTTTAGCCACGCTCATAACCAAGACGGGAAGTGCGGTCCATGAGTCTGTGTGCACTGGCTGATGGGAACCAGACACAGACAGCGTTGCACACTGTTATGACACGGATCAGGCCCTAATTTCAATCTAAACGTATTTCATGGTTCCACGCACATTACAGCGATTTACTAAAGAAAATAAAACATACCTTCTGTCGGTTTCTGGAGTCGACAGCTCGCTGCTGAAGCCTAGGGTCTCCTGAGGACAGGAGAAAAAATAGGAACATGTCAGAATAAAAATGAACCATTACAATTCTCATGGTAAAACTGTGTGTTTGTGTGTGTGTGTAAAAACCACTACCATAGACGTTAGCACACTTTCTAAAGAGCATTTTTACAAACATAGGGGTTTCTCTCTGTAATGTCTGGTGTTTGTGTCCTTTTACCTGGATCTCATTTCGAAGCTGCACAGAGGAGCTGCTTGGATCCTGTTTCTCCTTAAAAGAGAGAGAGAGAGAGAGAGAAAATAAAGGTTGTGTGTCAGTAGAGAGAGAGAGAGAGAGAAAAGAAAGGTTGTGTGTCAGTGTCAGGGTCATGTACTGTAATAATACAGGGATTTATGAAACTGAGGGACAGGCAGGACAAGTTCTGCATGTGGAGAGCAAAGGTCAGTGGACAACAGAGACACTGGCTGTGTGTTTACCAACCAGGGTAAGGTCATGAGGGAAGGGCGTTCCCTGGTCAGGTTCATGTAGACACATCTGAACAACATGAACACAAACACTGGCACGTGCACGTGCGTCGCCGTACACGGACGCCTCCACAAGCCCGTTCCTGCTTCAGGTCTGGCAACCTGTGCGACTCGTTCTAACTGTTATGGAACAGGACTGGGCGTCGCTGAAGGAGAGTCAAGTTGAGGGTTTTCTTAAGGAAGCGTGACAAAAGCATTTACGTTACTGCCTGTGTGAATACCACAGTGACGTCAACGGCCCCTCCCTCCACAGGGAAACACCTGCTGGTGTGGTAAGATACAACATTTGGCTAAATGCAGTGGCACATTATAAACAAATATTGGAAATATTTGTACAAGCAGGATACAAAGAAGAACACTTCAACCTTTTAAAGGTTTTTTAAAACTGAATCACAAGGTCGGTGAAACACGTGACCTCATCAGGACATATCCTTGAATTACAGTAAATACTTGTACAGACAGACACACGGACTGGAAAATCACAAGTCTGCAATTTAGTTTTCAGCCTGCACAATGTGATTATTTTAAGGCCAGTGAGCAGCCTGGACGAAGCTGTCGACGGCACGGGTCCTCAGCTGTCTGGGTGTTTTTGTACTCTGAAGGAAAAGGACAGTTTTTTTCTTTATTTTGGTAAAAAGAAAAAAAAAAGTTTCCCAGCGGTGGCTATACTTCTACATAGTACAAACATTAGGTTTGTTTAGACTGACTCAAATGTTTCTTTTAATGATGGCACAATTTGAGAAAAGGGAGAAGATGAAAACCTGACCTTTAACCAGTTCCTGTACTGATTTTACTCATGCCATAAAATACTAGACAATACTTCAAGTACTGGAAATAGTAACTTCGATCGTAAAGTGTTGTCTGTCATGGGTTTCAATCCAGATAGTGCTAAACCGAGATTTAAAACAAAGTGCCACATTACACTCTGTCTGACAATAACTCTGTCAAGGCCTGGTAAAAGTAAAGTGAAACTAGTCGGTTGGTCTGTGTAACTTGGACACTCTGTCTAAAAATCACAATAAAAATCACAATAAAATCATTTAAAGTAAGTGCTTCTGTCATTTTTATGGACCTTATGAAATTATTTGCTTTTGTGTTTATCTGAGGAGCTGCTGCTGTCTTGTTGTATTTCTTCACTCCCCCTACACATAGCCAGGAAGCGTCAAAGTTAGCATTAGCTCATCGTAGTTCTGGAGAACTGTGACACACAACACTATTAACTAACAACGTTTGAGGGGAGAAAAGAGGAATGTTATTACAGAGGGTGTGATCTGAGGGGTGCAGCCATACAGATAAATGGGTGACTCATCCCTACAGTACTGTTCTGTTAGTCAACATTAGTGAACATATACAGGCTTTAAGAATAAAAATATAAAAAAAAATAGGTGACAACTGTGAAATAATCACAATAAAGAACCACAGTGACGACAGGTTTCCCAATCAGAAAACACAAACAGGAAATGTGCCATTTATGAGAACTAAACATTAGACTTCTGTGTCCACACCCATTTATTGAATTACAGGATGAAACAGTCACGGTGAATGTATTCTAATGTGGTATTCTTACTTCCTTTTTAGAGTGACTTAAGGTTTAACCTTTCATTCTTCTTTATTACAGAGGAAAATGAAAGAAGAGTTCATCAACAGCCTCTGGTTCCATTAATGAGTAACAGTTTGAAGACTTGGTCAGAGAACACATGCCTCAGCCTGAAGAGCTCTTTAAAAAAAGTCTGTGGCCTCCACCTCAAAGATGACCAGATCACCTGAGGTGGCCTAAACCCTCATCAATCAACCAGAGCCCTACAATTACTACAGCTGTAATCATGTGAATAGACTTGTCAGCAGGTCCTGCTAACTGATTTACCTGTTGATCTGTCCGTCTGTTACAGCGATCCTGCAGACGGACAGATGCACAGTCCGGAAGTTTTTCCGGAGTTATGTCGGAAGAGTCAGAAACAACCTAAGCATCAGAGGGAATACTGTGACTCCCATAAGTCAAAGAGCAGGTACGGTACATGTTCAGGGTCACATTAACTTCAATCAGACCAACACAGAAACAGTAACAAGGGCGAGCCGTGCTGCGGGAAAATCTAGGACAGCGATGTTTGCCTTCTGTTTGTGCGTAGGAGGACAGCGATGTTTGCCTTCTGTTTGTAACAGAGCTTATGCAAAACAAAAAAAGGACATATATATCCTTTGAACAAGCGCTAACTTTTAGCAGTCAGACTAACGTGGGTGTGCTCAGGGAAAGGCACATAAAGAAGGAGGGTGCTGTCACAGAGCTTAGCAGAATGGTGCTGCTTTTGGATCAGGTCTTTGATGGCGTCAGCTCACGACAACGGTCAGAGATGAAGGATAAGAACAGGAAACACGTATTTATGGCCTGGCAAAATCTCAGTCTCATTAATACAAATGTAATCCCACAAAGTACTGGGAACTTCAAAGCATGAACACAGAAGTTCAAAGAACATCAGGCACTACGTTACATTTGCTTTTTACTGCAGATGTGTGGAATGGTTTGGTCACAGAGCAAAAAGAGATTTGGTTTAAAACTTTCCAAATATGAACTTGAATTCCCCCTCAGATGTGTGGGTACGCTGATACGGAAAACAAAAAAGAAAAAAGCGAATAAAAAACGATAAAAAAGACGTGGCTATGTCTGACACAGTTTCTGAAAGTGAATATTAAATCCACGCGCCTTGATTCTCTCAACACTCTCCCAGTGGGGCTGTGTTATCCTTTACATGAACTCATCAGTATGAAATGCTGTCCTAGTTACCCCAGATTGGCACCAACTGGGGGCGTGAATGTGCAATGCCGTTCCTTTCAGATTTTCAGCCGGTTGTTTGTGCACAATCCACTCTGTGTGTGTGTGTGTGTGTGCATGGTCAAACGTGCGCGTGCAAACCTTGTCTAGAACGTCAGAGCACGACTAATCTGTGTTAAAATCAAAGAGAAAAGACAGAAAGGAAGCAACGAGCAGAGAGAGACCCAGCTAATGAGGATCACGATGTCAGCCATCAGGGAGACGAGCAACTGAGATGACTGCGCACACACACACACACACGCACAGTCAATGTGGAAAGTGACTGCAATTCCAATCATCTCATTGCTCTTCAAACTGAACTCAGAAAAATAAAATCGTTTTGCTACTGCAGAAGCACGTCATAGATACAAATGAGAGTTAAAAAGCAGCAGTTTACCCCGAACACAACTGAGAGCTCCATCAGGGACTTGGGTTCCCAGACCGCCAACATCTGATGCCAAAGTAAGCAGGTAAGTGGCAAATTCAGAGAGCAGGCGGCACAGTGGTTGTGTGCCACCTGGAATGACTGAAAGAGCTGATAAGACTGTGTGAGTTACAATGGACAACAGTCCATGAGAAACAGGAACCAGCCACACTGCCTGGTCCCAGCATGTGTTCGCAGACAGTAAAGGAAGAATATACAAACAAAGTTTCAAACAACAGTCCATGAGAAACAGGAACCAGTCACACTGCCTGGTCCCAGCAGCTGGAAGTGTCCTACATATCACCTTTACTGAGTTTTTAGTTTTTCATATTTTTCACAACATTTTTCCATACCAATAATGCCATCATTTATATTTTAGTCATAAATAAATAAGGTGCGAACCACATTCATCCAGCAGCTGTTTTGTCTTTATGTTTTAACTGTATAGAAACATATATTTCATCTGATTAAAAACTGCAATTGTTTGACAGCCTGGGAGCATACGTCGTGACGACAATCCTTTAGGAAGTGCAGCAACCTTTCTGAAAATGGGATTTTTACACAAGAATGCGTTTCTGTGTATGGTTCATTCACAAAGGCAGGAAGCTGCTCTTGTGTTTGTAGAAATTTAATGGCGAGCAGAAAACCATCAGCACATTAGGAACCAGCTCGGTCCACTTCCTCTCCAGACGTTTGGAGAATGTGCATGTGTGTACGTGCACAGTTTGAGTGCAGTATCTGCAGTGTGAAGCCGAACACTGTAGGTCAAACAAACGGTGTTCAAAATTACTACTCAAATACAGACTAATGAATCAACAGAATGTCAACACTTCCATCCACTAAGACTGTTTACCCCAGAGTTTCTAGAAATGATTCCTCAAAGGCAAAAGTGTCAAAAAAATAAAGTTCATAGCAGCTGCCGTTCTTTTGTCCTGTGCTGTTTATCTGGACAAACTTTCCCGCTCTGACAAATATCAACACAATTTCTCACCTCACATTCAGAAACCAAACACAAGTGAGTGCTTGAGTCTTGACCCCGAACAGTTGAGAGTCTAACAAAGCATTCCTGAGGCTTTCATATCAATCTGACACCAGCTGAGGCAATTTTTTTCTGCTCAAAGAATTTCAATTATGAAGTCAACAAAGAGACCAGGGGCTGATGGATTTTGGCCAAACATCAGAGTAATAGATTTTCATGATCTTTTTTCTCTCCAACGCAGCCTGTGAAGGGCATTAGCAGAGATACTGTTACAGTGTCTCACTGTTAAAATGGATTTAAAAGTCTAATTTTGAGAAGACAATTACCAAAATGTCCCTTATTTATGACTTCAAATATAATGTTCCGGTTTAAGTCGGCACTTAAATCATGTTGGATGTTCACTCCCCCAGGCTAGGGTTAATCTGCAGCCTCACCAACCTGTCACTACAAGCTTACAGGGTCTCTGTAATTACTGGTAAACAGAGCTGAAATACCATTAAACTCTGTCGCAGTAAATCAAGGTTAAACAAGTACAAAATGGGACCAAAAATATGAAAAACATGTTTTGTACTGAAGAATTTTTGAAACTTCCTGACAACCTCGGAGCTCAAAGCACAACGGCGATGTATTTAGAAATGTACTAATGATTACTGCTTATGCTATTTGACATTCAGAAAACTTAATTACACAAAACATATTGATGATAATCACACCATCATCCATCCTACAGACCTGACAAATCTCGTCTCCTCAGTGTATGACCTCACACGGACAAGTTCATTAAATAAACATATTTTGTGCAACTTACAGAACTTGTATCTAAACTTCCTGTTGCTTGTGGAAATAAACATCACACTAAATCTGCATTCTGGTGAGATGTTTAGTGTAACAGCACTGGGAAACGGTCACATTCCCACAGGAGGATGTTTTTTTAAACCCTACTGTGTCCCCACTAGGCATAACACTGACCCAGATGAGACCAAACAGGAAGTGGGCATTGTCATTTGTCAGATGGCTAGTCACTGTCAAGACAGCATCTGAACACCAGGTGAAAACAACATTAGGATGCTTGTACTATTTGCACAACAACAACAAAAAAACTGAACACCAGGTGAAAACAACATTAGGTTGCTTGGACTATTTGCACAACAACAACAACAAAAAACCCTCTCTTCTGCCATAGTTGTGAAAATGAAAGCCTTTTAAAGAACAGAAAGCTTAAAAAATAGACTTCTCCTTTCTGTGAGTGGCTACAGTTTTCACTGCAAATGAAATACAGAGTCAGGGAACACAGCAAACAAAAACAAAAACATGAGGTCTTTCAACCGTGATACCAGAGTTGATCTCACAACGTTCTTACCCGGACTAGATTAATGAGAATTTGAAGTCGAGGAAGTTTCAAGACAAGTGAACCAAAGGCCCTGATCACATCTGGACAGTTAGAGACAGCATCCAGAATGTGAAACACATTTGGTTGTTTCCACAGAACAAGAACTGACCTATGAATTTTACAGCCATTAGAGAAAACACAATGACCGGAGAGGGAGTAGGTCCTGTGGTCAGGCTGATTACCTCACTGCCATCCTGTAGCCTTTACCAAACGACAGCTCCTTCCCTAAAGGCCATGTCCCACTTACTAAATGTCCACTCAGTTAACACGTCTCTCAGACTTTGGGACTTTTCAATAGCTGTTAGCTCACAGAGACACAGCTGCATGTCGCTGGCGTGCAGCCACTGTTGTTGGACGCACTTAACGTGCTACAATTGTCATTAGCCAGTGGTTCTGACTGGGAGTCCGTTTTCTTAGTCTTGGTCTGACTCTCTCTCTCTCTCTCTCTCTCTCACTCTCTGTCTCATACTCCAGATGAATTTTACAATGCATTTCAATTCCGTACTTCACTACGCCAGATACTCCTCCACAGACTGAGACAGTTTAACAGTGTCTGGTCTGATGGAAAAATTAAGCCACACAATCGTTATTACTGCTCAAGAAGAATGATCTGCACAGAGAATGCCTGCTGTGGACTTGAATCTCCCCCAAAACCTATTTTAAAATAGAAGTGAACCAAAATTCAGAGGGCAAAGTTGACTCCACACAGCGTGGGCCGATCCTGCGCCTTAGAGAGCTCTCAATAAGGTGTTGTCTGACCCATATTCCTCCCTTCATGTTTTTTTTCCCACTCCTCTTCTATATTTCGTTGCCAAAATTTGCAGAGTGGCAGGACGGGACAGCTGCAGGCTCTCACATATTCCCCCCAGTCCTCTTCTTCATCCCCCCTCATCTCCCTCCCTTCTTCCTCTGTTCACATCCTTATCCTCCTCCTGTGCTGGGCTTCAGGCTCCGGGCCCAGTCAGCTCTTTTTCTTAGATTTTTTTTTTCCTTTTTTACGTGGGCTCCAAACTCAGTCCTGATTGCTTCCTCTTCCCCTGCTTTATCTGCTCAGGATGCGACTTTCCAGTACTACAGACACCCAGTGATAAACCTAGACATTACAGTAAAATCTACGTGATGACACAGGTGTGTTAATTATCCTGAGATGAACAGCAGGGGCCGCCCTTAGAATCATCTTAGACTTTTGAGTCCGTGGCCTCAAAAGCTGAGAGAACAGGACATGTGTCTGTGACAGCACCATAAATCTGTCTACACGATATCTGTCAATGAAACCAAAAGCTTATGGTTGTCTGTGAACAAAACAGTGGAACCAGGAAGAACAGAGATACCGCATATGTCAGCAAAGATGTTAAAAAAAGAACAGTTGAGGTCATTATTGCAGTGTGAACCAGGCAGAAATGGAGAAGTGATTCATTAATATGTCATGCCATAATATTAAACTTGTGACACTTTCTTCATTTAACCAACTTTCCACTTCTTAAATATATCATGAATAAGTCACACGGACATAGCATAATGGTCTCCACTTCCTTGTTTTTGTGTCCAAGGCCCAGTGGGAAGTATGTGCGACATGAAGCCTGGCCTTCTGGAGCAGCACCAGCAGCATTCCTTCATACATCTGCTTGCATCTTAGCAACCAATGGGGTGCCCCACTACCCTACATCCTTGTGAAAAGGGCCCTCGAACTATCTCATGAATGTTAGAACACCACTGCATTCACATCAAGAATGAGGAACGAAGCCTTTAGAAGAGGATTTGTGTTTCTGGACTTCTCCTGCACTTCACTCTGGACATGTGAACTTGTTACCATAAACTGGATGGAGCAAGTTTGGAAGGTTATGTGTTGTGCAACTCAGGAACGTGGAACGTCAATGGTTCAGTATTACATGGAACCTCTGAGTCGGGACCACTGTAGTACATACTGTGACCACCGGGAGTGTGTGTGGATTTACCATGTCAAGCGTTTGAGAGACTCTGCGTTTGCGTAGTTCTTCCATGCGATCACTGACGTCACTGAAGCAAGTGTTGTAGTACTCAGAGTACTCCTGGGCAAGGTCATCTATGTTGCCCAGAGAACCATCCTAGAAAAAAAAAGAGGAACAAAATCAATGTTTTCATACGATGAACAAGAACAGTCTTTATTTAAAACCGGAAGCTCAGTTACACTTCACGTGGCACAGGATAAATTTGTGGCATTTAAAAAAGAAACCCACACTAAAAATATATAGTTTACTTAAGGGGCATTTTGGTTTGGTTCAGCAATTGTCTTTAGTGAGCCAAGGTTTTGTCTTAGGATCATATCTGGGTTGCCCTTTAACTCCTTGGACATTTAAAGAACACTGAACAAAGCACTTGGTTCCAGTTAGCCTGATGTTTAGATCCATCAGGTTCCTGTCTTTGTCTCTGGGAACTCTTTGGAATTGAAGGAGGAAGCCGTACTGCAAACAGTTGGGAGAACGGCTCAGAGAACACTCCTTCGACACAGTTCTTAAGACATAGACATAACCTCATAGAGTAATTGTATGCATGAATGCATTGTTTTCAATCTAATTACAGCCATTTTCCAGCAGACGTACATAACAATTTATAGAATTGCAAATGAGATGAGAAGAAGACGGAGTCCCATCTCCTTTCCTTGCCTTAAAATGTAGGTCTTTCTGTGAAGTGAGTCAGTGAAGTCCAACTGGTGAATATTCATTAGTGTTGACCTAATCTGTGCCAGGCAGACAGCTAGCATTGAGTCACTGTGCCGAGTCCGAACAGTCTCTCTCAGTCTCTGTCTTCTCAACCAAACCCCCTATCTGTGTGCCAGGCCACAAGTGAATGGCACACTGTGTGTGTGCGTGTGTGTGTGTGTGTGAGTGAGTGCCCCACACACACGTAAACACACACACACATACTAGGACATAGGGCCGTCTTCAGAGATGTCTTTCTAGTCAGTGAGAATGTGCATTAGCATGCAGGCACATGCATGCAAGAGATTTGAAAAACATCAGACCAAAACAAACTCCAACCGAGTTCTCTCCACGCCTGGTTGGAGTTGTGAAATATTAATTACTGATCAACTGATGAGAAATACATCACTAACGAATGCACAGCTCACAGTTCAGCTCTTCTTCCCTGAGACTGGCTGTGATTTATCCTCCCACTGATTACTTGAAAACCTGCTCTGACCAAACATATGGTTTGAGATGACCGTGATTCCCAGTGGGAACACTCCAAAGCAGACTCTCCATTTCCCCCAACATTCCACACGCAGGCTCTCATTACAGAGACTAAAAGATGTTTTAATCACCATAAACACAATCACGCTGATTTGTGTAACACATGCAGAAACTGGACAGCTCCTGGCCTGAGATAAGACCAGATGTCACTGCATCTTTTTGTGTTTGTGTCCACAATCATGTTCTAAAAAAAAATTTAACAAAAAGAAAACGTCTATCTTGTGTAAAAGTCTATCTATTTCTAACGTAGACTTGTATGAACAGGTGAAGGTGGTCGGGTTTGGTTTCCTTGACTTCGGGTGTCGACATTTGTACAAACATGTGCACGTGTTTGTGTTTGTGTGTGCGTCTCTGTTCTGTGTGTGTGTGCGCGGCAGATAACTGAGATTCCTCCAAGTCTCCAGTGGCATGAGCTCATGGAGGAGAACCAACACAGCTGTCCCTCCAACACAGCCCCCCCACCTCCTTGCAAAGTGATCCTGAACACATGGCCACGGGAAGACCGTCCACAAACACTAAAACTAAAAACTAAAAGATTCCTTAAAGTGAATTTAGACAATAAATAATGAAAAGATACAAAATGGTCAAGTCTATTACTAGTCACCTAGGTTTAGTTAACATGGTTAAAGGAACGGGGCATCAGACAAACGTTGTGCTTTGAGATGTAGCGTGGACAAAGGATGATTTGTGGGACACTGACTTCATCAGCTGTGAGAGAAAAATAAAACATCTGGTGTCTGGAAAAAAAATAAAAGAAATACTCTGGAGGGACTTTTAAATGACAGACTTAAATCCACTTGTAATACAAGCTATAAACATATGACGGATGTGTTTGTTGGTATCTGAAGTCAACAAGAAACCTTTAAATAAATTAGTACTCTATAAATATTCAAGTGAACCCTCGTTACAAAGAATTAAGCTGAAGTATAGCCCTGTAGTTTTGTGCACTGATTTGGAAACTAATACTGGTGTAGCTGACGTAAGCCACTCCACCCTGTGTGAGCGAGGCCTACTCCCTTTTTTAACTGAACAATGGGAACAATGGTAATTTGAAAACTAAACAGCTAAGCAGGATTTTTTTCACGTTTGTCTTGTATTTTCAGGAAAGGGCGCACGCGTCACTTGTAGGCCAAAATAGTGACAGGTTCCCGACTACTCCCAAAAAAAGCAGCTGAAATGTGTTGGACCTCCATGGAGAACATGTTGTCACTTCTGTTCCAGGAGTTTGAAAAGTCAAAACAGAATGAAATCCAGTGACGAATGCAGTGAAAGACACTTGATAAGAGGAGTGGGTTTGTGTTTAGCAAGTTACCACAGTGAGTTGGAGGCTGTTTCCAACATCAAAACAAAATAAACAAAAAGAAATGGAACTGCGCCACGGTGCATAACTATTACAATATTGCTGATTGCACAGATAAATAATTTAACCAAGATTGCCTCAGAGCAGTGGAAATAATTAGAAGTCATTCCAGAATCAAAACATAAAAAATACAGCTGTTGTTCCATGTCTTATCAACATGGTTTAACCATGGAGGCCCAGGAACCAGGTTCATATAATCAATTAACATCCTGACTTCCACAGAGGCTCACCTCCACTCAGTCATCAGCCATAATACGTTTGGTGAAGTCCATCTTACAGGCTCACATTCCAAACAGCGCTTTTAATCACACCAGGGTTCAGTTACAGTCAGGTCTCTAACATTGTACATGTCACTATTGTTATGGGGGGGTGGCCCTTTCACCCACTCTCTTAGGGGCAGAACAATAATAGAACCTACAATAGAGCCATACATACAACTGATGTAACATAAGGACACAAGCAGGGTGATCTCTTTCACCTGCTACTAAGGACATAAGTCACTAAATGGCTGGTGTTAAAATGTAGGTTTTATAAAGGAGTAAACAGATTAGCATAGCGCTGTTAGCGAAACAGAACAAACAGCTAAACAAGTCTGTTTGAACACAACTTAACTAAACCAGGACAGGACTTGGTATTTTTCCACTTCCACCTCAATGGTCATTGATTCATCCATCTCAGATAACAGGTCTCGCCACCTGCTGGGGAAGCATGGCACTGTGCTACCAGATGGGACATTTGAGGACACGCGCACCTATCAGTCTCACTGCTTGGTCTGGAGGTTTTTGTGGAAACAAAGAATCTGACTAATAGGTGTGTTGTTGGGCGTGAGAGTCAAACGATGACTGCTGAGGAAGGTGAAGTCAGGGGCTACGGCCCAACCCTTTCAGGGGGCTTCCTGAGGAAATCTGTGTTCTTGGATCCCAGCAGAGGAAACCTGCTTCTGTCTCTGTCCATCTCTGGGTGACCTCAACGATGACACCACTCAGGGACTGGAAGGAAATGAGAACTGATGGTTCTGACTTGGCAGCCACAGTGAAAGTAATGGCTTTATGGACTGTGTACAGTCTTCTGGACAAAACTGGTAAAACCCTGTGCTGCTCTGAATCAACACTGTGTAGGAGGAAGTACAACTGGACGACCTGGCTGGGTGTTTTCTTAGACTGAATCAATACTCATGTCTCCAGAACAGATCTAATACTGGGGTTGGAAATGAAGTACTGTCTAGAACCTAATCCATGTTGTCTGAACAGAAACATACTGACTGTGACACAACTCAGCAGCAGTGAGGAGGGTTGTCCTAAAGTAAATACAGGATCTACTGCAACCTCAGCTAAAGGATAAATGAAGCAAATTGAAGTTTCTTCACATTTATACTAGTTTCTATACTGTAGTTTAAAATGAGGAAATCTTTTTGTCACCTTTCAAGAAGTGAAAGAACATTTTACTTGATTTCTAAAATCTCGCATGGAAACAACATAGAGAAGAGCTTAGAAGGAAGAAGACTTCAATTAAATTCTTGTCATAAAGTTTTAATTTGCCCATGTATCGGTAAAACCCAACGACCCATATTATACTTGCTGAAACAAGTTCAGTGGAGGAGACTGTTGGAGGTTATATGAGGACCTTAGGTTTTGTTGACGTGGCTCAAACACAGCTTTAAATGTCCAGTAAAGGTTAGCGTTGCTGGGGTTTATCGTATAATATTCAGCAGAGATTTTTCAAATCTGAGAAATAAATCCTGCAGCCTCAGGTGCTGTTACAGAGCTGCCCGTGACTCCTAATGAGCTGAAGGGCGATTTACTGGCTTTGAACCACAAATATACGTCTGGCCTACTTAGGTTTTCTTATTAAACGAGGCTACGCTGCATGGTTGACCTCATATAGGAGCTAAAGTCCTGCTGATGAAAAGTTATAATTGTCTGAATGACCTATGTGACCCCAGCTTTGACTCCATGTTAAAGAGCTGCTCCTGGGTTGTTCCTGTCTCCTTGTCCATCATATCCTTATCATCATCATCAATGTCCATCTGTGTACAAGTATGTAGGGCCTGTTCTCACACGTGCGAGGGACCGGGTGAAAAACATTTGCAGCAGTGAGCTGAGCTGCGTCAGAGGGCCAAGTAGGGGGGGCAAAATGAAGGCATTCCCATCTTTAAAGGAATATTCTCATGTGGGTCAGAGAACAAAAGGCGGTGAAAGTTACACCACTGTTTAAATATAGCAGATCGACTACGCTTTCATGGAGATACCCAGTCCATTGTGCTTTAAAAGCCATTTTACAGGGTGTTTAAGAATAGAGAGCTTTGCACTCTCTGTCCTTCACTTCACACCTTTTTAACACTCAGTCAAAAACAGATGTATAAATCGCAGAGTTTACCATGAGTTTATGGTCAGAATGTAAAAGTAGATCACAAGGTAACTGGAACAGACGACCTGTGCTGAACACTGTGGATGTGAGGTGTACTAACACAGCCCAATACTGTAATTACATACAATTA